CGCCTCGACCGAGGGCGCGGGCAGGGGAGCGGGGCAGTGCCGGACCGCCCCCCCGGGGACGCGGAGCCTCCCGCGGGGGCCTGAGGCGCCGCTGCTCCCCCCCGCCAGGGCAGCCCCCGCCCCGGGCCTCACCTGCCGCATCAACGCCGCCGCGCAGCCCCCGCGCTCCGGCTCTCCCGCCGGCGGCTGCCTCCGGTCTTCTGGCACCCGCAGCCCCAGGCACCCCCAGGCTGCGCCCCAGACCCGCCAGCTCGGGAGGAGGCCGGCGCGCCCCGCGACTTCTGCCGACCCCAGCGGCCCTCCCAGCTTCGCCGGCGGCGGCAGCCCCGCTCCCGGCCGCAAAGGCGACCTCTCTTCGCCGGGCTCCTCCGACGCGGCGGCCACGCTCCGCCGGCTCCCCGCTGGGCCTCAGCGCGGCCCCCCGCGCCCGGCCGTCACCAGCGGGCCGCGACCAGGTCCCGGCGGCGGCGGTTCCGCTTCCTCGTCACCCTGCGCCGGGCCGAGGGGGCGGGGCGCGGCGCGGCGCGGCGCGCGGGCCCGGCTGAGCGCGCCGGCGCTCCCCGCCCCGGGAGCCCAGACGAGACACCCCATTGGCTCGCGGCAAGTGGGAGAGAGGCGGGGGGCGGGGCCGGGTCCCCGCAGCGAGCCAAAGAGAGCGCGGCGCGGGGCGGGTGACGAAAGCGTAGAGCAAAGGAAGAGGCGGCAGCTCGTGTCCGTCAGCGGGCGAGGCGAATCCGGGAAGCTGGCTTCTGATTGGCCGGCGCGAAAAAACCAATCGAGGGCCCCCTCGCTGGGTCCCGCCCCCCTTAGCGTCATCCGGGATTCTATTGGTCAGGAGGCTGGTGATTTGCATGCGACGTTCTCTTTATAGCTTGCCGGGCGCCCCTGCTGCTGTTGTTCTTCCCTGCGTTTGCGCCCGGTGTCCGCGCTTCGCTGGGCGGGAGGGGCGGCGGCCCTGGGGCCGATCCCGGGCCGGGATATGGCGGCTGCCGGGGCCGGGGAGGGGGGAGAGGGAGGGAAGGAAGGAACTTAGCTGTGCTGCGGGTTTGATACTGAGCATCCCCTCGCAGCCGGGGCTGGGCGGCTCCTTGGCGTCGGCTGCAGAACCTGCTAACGTCGTGTTGTTTTCAGCAGTTTCTAAGGAGAAGGGCAGCTCCTGGGAGCGCGGGTGAGTGCCGCCCGGTGCGGTGGTGGCCGCACTGCTGGGATCCTCCGAGCTGGGTCCTCCCTCAGGCCCGGAGTGACGCTGGGGCACACCGTGAGCCAGTAGCTCGCTTGACAGCGTGCTTCTTAATAATTAAGGGTGTTAAGCTGTTCATTGTTCACAGAGGTTACAAATAGCATACAAAAAACTGTAATTGTGAAACCTGGGAAAGCCTAATGTCTTCACGACTTTTAGTCTTCTTGCAGATTTTGCACTTGCATAGGTACTCTTAAGTCAGGCTTTTTCTTTAAATAAACTGTCTTCAGGATTAAGAAGTTCTATTCTGTGATGTGCTGAATTAAAGGGAGTTGAATTTCACTTAGTAACCTAATGTTTTAGCCTGTTTTCCACTGACTGCTCTCTCTTCTACTTTTATGTGGTGATTTCATGTTAACTGCTAAGAAGAATGATTTCAAAAAATATTGCAACTGGTAGTGTAGGAGACTGTTGCTTTGGGGGTTTTTTGTTTTGTTTTTGTTTTTTTTTTTTTGTTAATAAACTCTTTGTGGAAAGAATGTTATGTCATCTTTTGAAACTTTGTGACTGTCATATCAAGAAAGGATGCCTTAGTCTTCTGAGGAACACCGTCATAAACTGTAATTTAGAAATCAATATCTTAACAATTTAAACTTCATGATGGTGTCTAAATTCTGGAAGATTGGGTTCCTATGGAGGGTGTTGCAAGTAATCATGATGTTGAACTAAACTTGAACATGCTTTGGGCTCTGTCATCTCCTATAAATATGCTGTAAAGCATATATGTGAGTAAACAAGTGTATTGCTGTAAATGAGATTTGTAAACAACAAAAAAAAAAAGAGCCAAATTGCTTAATGGTCTCGTTTCCACTGTAGAGCTTTGCATTTAAATCTACATCTTAATTAGCTCTGTTTTTTTTGTAGAGCTATAATTTTGCAGTTTTGTTATATTGTAGCACAAGATCATATGTCCTGGTTTTGCTGCTTGGTTTGACCACCACCAATGTAACAATACTGACAGGAAATAATGAATTCTGAATCTACTGTGCCATATATTTCCATGGTGCTTTGCAAAGAGACATGAAGGTATGTTCAGTGCCCCAAAGAGCTCAGATTCTAAGGTTTCCATTCTCTCTGTATGTAAATAACTTTATATGCTTGAATAGCCCCATTGCCTCAAGTAGACTGTTAAGGTGTGAAATTGCTCATGTGTGTAAATGTTTGTGAAAGAAAGACTGAATAAAAAGGAGTTAGACAAGAGCTGAGAGGCGGGGGGGGGGGGGGGGTAGGTTTAGGTTGAGATGTCAAAAGACACTTGAACTTCCTTTTGTTCTTTTTTTAATAGTAGGGAGGGTCCATGAGCATGCTTTGGCAGATCTGCACAGATACAAAATGCAAATAAACTTTCATTGTTTTTTTATCATGTTTTTTTTGACTAGGCAGGAACATTAACTTGAATTTGTTGCACATCCTGTGTGTTTTACAGTATTAATAACAAATTGCATGTTTAATAGAAGTGGACCATCCAGTGCAAAACTGTCCAGCAGAACAGGGAAGTTAATACTTCTGTTTCGTGTTGAGGTGGTTTTAATTTTGCATCTAATGTACATGATTGTTACACTAATTATAACATAAAAATACTTTTCCAAAGATCTTAGATGTAAAAGACACCAATATAGTGGATGTTGCCCTGTATTTTTCTTTTAGGTTACTTAGAAATTACTACATTTCATTCATAACTCATTTGTTCTTTAAAGGCTCTTAAATTGTTTAATCTGGCAAATGATAATGGACTATATTTGTGTTACTAAAGCAGTTCTTTCCCATTCAGGTAAAAGTATTTAAACCAAAGGTCAGACTTCTGGTGTTAATCCTTAATAGTTTACTAAATAGGAAGTCATGCAAGTTTGTTTTTTTTTTCTCGACTTCTGAGGTTAATCCCTTAAAGGAAGGGATGAAATGCACTATGTGCAACTACACTGAAGCCTATTCTCTGCCAGTCCTGGGACTTTTAGGGACGCAGAGCTGTTAGGCATCTTTTATGAGTGCAGTACCCAGGAGGGAAGATCCTGGGATGCTCTGTTCATTTGTCTATTTAGGATATAAATCCTTCACAGCAGGGCTTCTCTGTTGAGTGTTGGAGGCAAAAATTGTGTGTAACATTGAACTAGGCAATTACGAAAGCTGTAAAAATGGTCACTTGAGCAGAGACAGTCAGTGGATTTTTTTAGATTATTTTTATTCCAGTCCAGAAGGGGATTATAGACTAGATGGTTGCTTGAGGCTCCTACTGGCCAAGTATTTCTGACTTGATTGTACTATGTAGTTGCAATAGTTCCCTCATTAGACTGGCCGTCTGAGAAAACAAGGCATCTGCTCACGTTGTCTGCTCCAGTATTCGACTTTAAGTCTGGTGATCTCAAAAATACTACGGGCACAAACTGAAAATTGTCAGCTGGGCAGAGCCAAGAGCCAAGCTACTTTGGGAATGGTACCTGAGTGAGCTAACAGTGTTATTACATGTCCAAGAATCCACCAAGAAAAGATGGCATAAGTGACTTCATTAGGGCTGATGCTTTGTAAGGGAGAAGAGAATTAAAGCGTGATATGAAAAAATACAGGAAATGGGACTTTAAGTTCTGCTGCTCAGAAAACAATTTGTTCTAGAGGGGGTTGCTGAGCTTGTAGCAAGAAGGTCTAAGGACATTTTTTTGCCTTTGTACCTAAAGTCTGTCTTTAAGCTCTGGAAGAGACACTGCATGTTAATGCAGTCTGCCTCCCACCCAGTACTTTTTCCTACTTGCTGACAAAACTGACCATTTTTTGTCAGAAGGGTTCTGGTAATTGCTGTATACTTGGAAGAGAGAAATGGTGTGAACCACCACATACATTATATACCATGTTACACATGGCCAGAGTCAAGGTAAGTTAGCACATGAAGAAACTCTTGGTTGCAGCTGTGCTAGGGGTGTGTCTTCTTTTCATTGGTTTCATTGGAAGTGTTGTGACTTCAGAGGAATAACAAATCATTGTAGAGTTGACAGCATGTTGTGGTTTGACCCCAGAGGGCAACTGAGCACTATGCAGCCATTTACTCACCCCTCCCCTTCTCAGGAATGGGAAGGAGAAAATGAAGGAAAAAAAGGCTTAGGAACCCAGATAAGGATAGGGAGGGGTGTCTCATGCATTATGGTCATCAGCAAAAGACAGACTTATTGGGGGAAGAAAAAACATCACTTTAATTCAAATGCTAACAAACTTAACAGACAAGGTAGGAGGACAGTGAGAAGTGCCACCACATCCAAAAAAAAACCCACCTCCCCAGCTTTGCTCCCACTTTCTCTCCCTCTTCCCCTAGCAGCGCAGGGGCAGGGGATGGGGGTTACAGCCAGCTCACCGCTCCTTCCTTCTCGGGAGGTGGGGGGAACACTGCCCAGCCCTCCCCTGCTCCCCGGGGCTCCCCTCTCACTGCAGACAGGCCTCCAGGAACCTTCTCTGGCGTGAGGCCTCCTCACGGGCCACAGCTGTTCCCGAGCTGCTCTGTCCTGGCTCACCCCCGTGTGTTGCAGTCCTCCCAGCGCCGAACCACAACAGCGGGGGCTGCTTCTCCCCTCAGAGTCCCGGCCTACTTTAAGCGCAGCCACTTGTCCTGGTGTGGCTTTTTCCACACTTCTAGTTGGCCTCTACTCCACCGCTGACCTCCATGGGTGGCAGGGGGGGACGGCCCTGCCCTCTCCCCACGGGATACAGGGGTCTCTGCTCCAGCACACACCCCCCTTCCTCCTTCCTTCCACTGTCCTGGGTGTTTGCATAGGTGTCCTCCTCATCATTCCTCCGAGCCAGTCCCAACCCCCTCCCGGGTTCCCTTTCTTAAGTACATTATCTCAGTGGCGCAGCCACTGTCACTAATTGTCCTGGCCTTGGCCAGAGGTGGGTCCGACTTGGAGCTGGTGGTCACAGGGACCACTGCTGCAGCCCCCTCCCCTGCTACCAAAAACACCACACAAACCTAGTACGTATAGGTGTCAGGTCTGGGTCTTGAATCGTCTCATTTGAGTGCATTGGCTAAACGTGGCGGCTGAGGCTGAACGCAGGCCTGGAGCTGGTGAGGACTGGACATGGAGCTGCGGTGTCCCTGACCTGGGCTGTGCCCGCTGCACCCAGGGTGCTGGGGGGAGGAGGGCAGCGGCAGGAGGGCTTGGTGGGGCTGTCTCCACTAAGGTGTTATGAGAGAAACTTGGCCGCTGCCATAAGAAGTTACCAAATCCCTTTTCCCACAAAAGCTGAAAGGGCTAATGAGCTCTGGGCTGTATAATCACATACAGTTACGATATGCATTTATATTTCACTAAGTTTCAGTTGGATCAGACTCTGTATTTAATACGTGGTCAGGGACCTGAAGAGTTTATGATCAAATCATGATTCCCAGGAAGCTGGGAAACCACACAGTCCATCATCAGTGTTGGAGAGTTCCTCATGGGTTAATTCACAAAATCCTGAAGACAGCTGCCGATTCCGTTATGATCAGAGGTCTCACCAGCCGGAGCCCCGAGAGCGGGTGTCCAAGTGGTTCTGTGCCTGGGGGTGCTGGCTGGTTTTCGGGCCCAGAGGCAGGACGGTGGGACGGCCCGGCGCAGGGGCAGATCTCCTTCGGTAACGTGCGTGAGGGGTGGGATGCCGGTCCCCCGGCGCCGTGAGGGGAAAGAAGCGCTTCCAGCCTCTCCGACTGCCGCTTCCAGGCGCCGTCCGGGGGGCGAGGCCCGGAGCGGTTACAGCTCTGGGCCGGCCCCGACCCGCCGGCGGGGAACGGCGGGGCGCGACGGCCGAGCGCGCCCGAGTCCCGCCGCGCTCGGCACTTCCGTCTCTCTCCGGTGTGCCAGCGGACCGCTTCGGCTGTTTCCGTGCTCTTCGGCGCCAGGTCGGGAGTTTCCGTGCTGCGGGCTCTCCTGGTTGTCAGGGGTAACGCAAAGCATCTGGGAGCGAGTGCGGCCTTCCGTGCCGGGCCCGCGCTCCGGGGCCGCCGGCCGGTAAGAGCGGGGGGGGGGGGGGGTGCGGGGGCCAGGGCCGGCCCGCTGCCGTCGACCCGCGCGGAGGCGGCGGGAACGCTCAGCGGCTCGGCCGGCTTCCTCCCAGTCGGCCCGGGCCCGGCCTGCGGGAGCGCGATCGGTCGCGGCCAGCCTGCGGCTCCGGGGCGGGCGGCGGGAGCGGCCGGGTCTGCCCACGGAGCGCGAACGCGGCGGGCGGGACCCCGCGTGGGGGGGCTGTGGCGGGTTCGCGGGGCGAGTTGTTGTTTTGTGCTGGCGAGTGACGATCGCAGCTCGGCCGAAGTGACCCACGCAGGTTTTGGCCCACGGACAGAAGAACTGCTCGCGAAGTAGGCTGGGCTCATCCCTGTGCATGTTCTCTCCATCCCCCCTGGTGCGGGTTCAGAATTTAATCAGATTTTTACTATTTATTCTTCCTGTTTTACTAATTAGAGGAAACAGTATTTAGTCATTAGCCATATTCTTGTGGCATAACTCAATTTTGTATTCTAATTTTTATCTAGGGCTACCTATTTTAAACATTTTCAAATTTAAAAAGCTAGCATTTCTTCTAGGTAGGGATTATAAGAAAAAAATATGTTTCTGCATAGGTAGCTGTCAAGTCTTGTCAGGGAAACATCACGGCAGCATATACAGAAAACTGATTTTATGAATACAGTTGCTGATGGGTTTTCTGGTAAACTGGTAGCAGTTCTACACGAATAGCAAAACTAATTGTAATCAGCCTCACTTAGATGCTAAATTTGCTGACAACAGACATACAGGGCATAAAAGTAAGTTTTAAAGAATCATCACCAAAGACAGAATAGCGTAATTACTTTTTTTTTTTTTTTTTTTTTTTCCCCTGAACATACATGATTGTCTTTTGAAATATGTACCTGTATTCTGGTTCACTACTGTCATTTGTAGCAATAGGAATCTTGAGGTTACCTATGCAAATCTCAGAAAATTTAAACCAAACAAATAAAGGCTATTTGGTTTGTAATTTATTTTAATACTCTGTCAACTTGTAAGTAATGAATTTAGAAATTTGTGTGAAGGGAAATCACCCAATATCAAGGGATAATATTCCCCTGCTCTTAAAATTACTGACGTCTTGTGAAATCTTATGGATGTCTGTGTTGGTGGGTGCAGACAAACACAGTCCTTTGCCCACACTCTGAGACAATGGCCAGTTATCAATCTACATTGGTCTCTGTATTGGTGGTGCATGACCTGTGAGCTGATAAACCCTGAAATCAGGCTTGATTTCCCCAAAGGACCTGATATCCCAAGCACAGGGCCACGTTCGTATGAGTGTGTGATTTCTGAACTAGATCTGGCTTGTGTCTGGCCAGATAAGAACAGGGGCAGAGAATGACCTTGAACCTCTCTTCACTTTTCTCTATGGGCAAACATCAGTGTCAGGTCTCATGTTTGCCTGTGTGAACGTCATAAAATTCAACAAGGCCAAGTGCAAGGTCCTGCACATGCATTGGGGTAATCCCCAGTGTTAGTACAGGCTGGGGGATGAAGGGATGGAGAGCAGCCCTGTGGAGAAGGAGTTGAGGGTACTGGTGGGTGAAAAGCTGGACGTGAGGCAGCCCCGTGGGCTCGCAGCCCAGAACCCACCCGTGCCCTGGGCTGCAGCCAGAGCAGGGGGGGCAGCAGGGCCAGGGAGGGGATTCTCCCCCTCTGCTCCGCTCTGGGGAGACCCCCCTGCAGTGCTGGGGCCAGCTCGGGGGCCCCCAACAGCAGAAGGACCCGGAGCTGCTCGAGCGGGGCCAGAGGAGGCCACGAAGATGCTGGGGGGGCTGGAGCAGCTCCCCTGGGAGGCCGGGCTGAGAGAGTTGGGGGGGTTCAGCCTGGAGAAGAGAAGGCTCCGGGGAGCCCTTACTGTGACCTTTCAGCACTTAAAGAGGGCTTATAAGAGGGGTGAAGGGTGACTTCTTATCAAGGCCCATACAGATAAGACAAGGGCTAATGGTTTTAAACTGTAAGAGGGTAGGTATAGTTTGGACATAAGGAAGAAAGGTTTTATGGTGAGGGAGGTGAGACACTGGAACAGGTTGCCCAGAGAAATTGTGGATGCCCCATCATGGGACGTTTTCAGGGTCAGGTTGGATGGGGCTTAGATTAAATTGATATAGTGAAAGATGTCCTTGCCCACACAGGGGGGTTTGGACTAGATGATCTTTAAAGGTCCCTTCCAACCCAAACCATTCTGTGATTCTATGAACTCTTTTGTTTTTTTTTGTTTTTTTTTTTTTTTTTTGTTTTTTTTTTTTTTTGAAGTGCTTGTAGGTTGTTTCAAAAGTGTCCATTGGGTGTATCTCCTCTGATTACTGAGATCAGATATCTGGACTTGGTCATGGTCTATTCCAAGCTTCAAAGTGGTTAACCTTTTCAGAAATTCTTGTCTTTTATACCTTGAAAAAATAGATCATGCAGTGCCAGAATAATTTGTAGAGGTAGTGCTACTTGATTATAATTTTTTTCTTTGAAGGCTTTTTTGAAGAAGCATCTGTCAAAACTATAGAGTGTAAATACATGAACTTGAAGCAACAATAAACAAGAATAATGAATTCCCAAGATTCCAACAAGCAAATGAATATTGGTTTAGTGGTTTTTATACTACTGAGTAATCCACTTATATAAGCAATTTATTTATTTGTACACATCCCAGTCTCCTGCACAATTTTGTATAGTTATTGAGATAGTGAAAAATATTTTATATTAGTGATTGTCCATAATTTACATGGCAATATCACCAAATCTTGTTTTAGTAAGTGCTAGTCTGCCTTTTCAAATATATACAGTGCTGATTAAAAAAGTGTTCTTGCTATTAATGCTGAAAGGGATAATTAGCTATAGCTATCCTAATGGGAACAAGCTGACAGTCACCTGTAGCAAAGCAGACAATGTGGCTTGATGTACCCATTAGTGAGTTGATGAAGAGATGCGATTTGTAAGCTTGACAGACTTATTTTCTTCCCTCTCTGAAGTGGACTGAGATAACTAAATAATAATAGTAAGTAATATTTAAGACTACAGATACAAGGAACACTTAACAGCAGGAAAAGGTGGCTCTAGAAAAGGCATTACAGCTGTGTGGTTTTGTGTGAGAAAACCATTATTTCATAACAAATATGTTTTTTTTTTCACTTAGGGATCTCAAATTTTTACTTGAATCTGAAGTGAATTTCTCAATTAGTTCAAAGTTTGAGCCCATATAAAGCTTATATTCAAATATGGACTAAATTCTTCCCCTGTTAGAGTAAAATGAAACAGAAGAAATAAGAACGGAAGTAGTAGTATGGGTACAGTATTTTGGAGCAGGATTAGAGAGATAAGAAAATTGTTAAAAACATGAAATAAAGATGAAAACCACATTAATTTTTATTTGAATGGTTTGTTGGGTTTTTTTGGTGTGTGTGTGGCAATGAAACTATGAGTTTCATTTTCAATTAAAAATGAGTGTGAAGATAAAGGTGAATGGATCTTGTTGAAAGATCAAATTGCGTGTTATTAGGCTGACTATTCTTGGTTCTGTTTTCATGTTTTGTAGTTCATGTTGTTCCTTCTAATATCAGAGGCAAGATACTGAACTACCAACTTATTTAAAAAGCTTACCGACCTTTCTAACCCATCTAATCAAAGGTGCTGAATCTGTTTTAATTTTTCTTTTCTTTTTTTTTTTTTTTTTTTTTTTTCCCCCTGGGAGGAAAGACAGCATTCTTAAAGCAAAATATTTATTTTAAGCACTGACAGAATATTTGAAGTAAAGAGACTTTAAAACAGGGGTTTACATCCTGCATCGGTGTCCAATTGGTGACTTAGGCAAATCTAACTGATGCACATGTGTACCTGCAGGTTCTTAACTCACGGTTTAGCTGTGCAGAAGAAAAAGCCTCTTCTCCTGAAATGTCAAGGGAGTCTTTTGAACCTGTCACAGTTTTTTTTGTTGTTGTTGTTCTTTTGTTGTTGTTGTTTTTGTTTAGTTTTCACCAGGTCTTGGCATTATTTGCTAATAATGCAAGGTGTTTTTCTCCAGCTGTTTTTCTTTTGAAACCAAGCCAATAAGATCACACAACACAAATCCCAAAGACCATCTCTCTATATAAGATATTAAAGATTATTAGTGACTTCCTTCATTTTCGACACCTGAATAGAGCACTGCTTTCAGGTTCTTTTCCTTGGAACATCAACAGTTATTGAGTATTTTCATTCAAATGTAGATAACAGTTCAAATGTAGATAACACTGTAAGTTAAACTAATCTTGCATAATTTCAACAGTACACGCTCCAAAGTGGTGACAACTCTTAAAACTTTGAAAGTCCAGATATGAGACTTACAACATATAATCGCTCTGTGACATCTTTGGATAAGAAGTACTGGAGGTAGCTTTCTGGTGTTCAAAGTTATTTCAGAGGCCTCTGAAATAAGCCAGCACAAGCCACTGGTGAGAGATTCATACTAGCTTATGTGTACCATGAATCTACCGACTACAAGGCTCAGTATTCCTCTGTCTTTTTTAAAAATACCACTATGACCTTTTTCATGTCTGTGTTGTGTGTACTAACAAGAGGATGCTGTAGCTTTACTTTTCCCCCAATTTTTAAAGTAATTTTTTAATTGTATATATAGCATATAATATATATAATACGGCATGTATACATATTATATACTTAAGCATACCTGATAGAAATGTTTATTTTCCTTGCACAGGTTTGCAGTCAGTAACAGCTTCTGTTGATATGGCTGTGTATGTGGATCATCGAACAGAAGCTCCCGATTCAGTTGCCTCCCCTTCTCATATAGCATGGCACCCACTTCATCCACTCCTGGCAGTTGCTTCCATCAGCACAGCATCTGGGGGCTGTGTGGATATCTACCTGGAACAGGTGAATAATCAGCAACTTTGCAGTTGGGCTTGATATCATTTTGCTGGTTTGAAACTTCACTTTTTTTCTCTATATGCTTGAAGCCTTACTTACGTTCCTTGAATCTCTCTCTCTGGATTTTAATTACTATCCATGTCCCATGCTATCTAGGTCATGTCAGAATCACAAGCTACTAATTAAGTATATTTTATAAAAAGGTCTTCATAAATTAAACTGATCTTTCTATTGAAATTTAATTTTTACAGCCTTAAAGTCTTTTTTGTGATGGTTACCGATTTACTTTTTACTTCTCATAGTATGAGAATTTCTGGCTTGTAAGTAAAATGTACACATGCTGCTTTTTTTTGTTGTTGTTTTGTTTTGGTTTGTTTGTTTTGTTGTTGTTTTTTAGATGGTGGGTGAATAAAATGTACAAAGAAATGTAAATTAAAACAAATCATTCCTCCACCTTGAGACTAACTGATTTGCTAAACTCATCTTGTTCTGTTTGGGTGGGTTGTTTCCTAGTATGGTCACTGCTTGTAGACAGGTATTTCCTTTGCATACTCTCAACTTTACACAGGAGGCTTATGTAGGACTTTGGTTTGAATAATTTTCAGGAAAAAGGTGTGCTGCTTAGGGAAATGGTACTACAGACTATCTAGCAGCAGACATACTGGAAGTGTTCAAATCTGTTATTATAAATAACTTATAAAATGTATGCTTTTTGAAGTGTGTTATGAAAAATTGTCATCCAAATTTTATAAATGGAAAAATAAATACATAGAGAAGTGAAATGATTTCCCTGAAATATTTTTGCAAACCATGCACAAAGGGGGGTCTACCTTTAAGAGCTGTTTAAGTGTTAGGTTATTCTGTGTCCTCAGTCAGGTGCTTTAGTCTTTTTCCAAACTTGTTTTTTTTTTACCTTGAAATATGCTCGAAGCCTTCTTATCCTTCATGCACAAGTAAAAGCTTGATATTCAGTGAGAGCTGCTCATGTATGCTGTGAGGGAAGAACAGCCTGGAAGAGCGGAGTGGTGAGGCAGTCGCTTAACACTGCTGTGTTTTCATTAGCAATTTTCAAGTGAACATACTGCATGTTGTAGCACGTTTTTATGCATGTGAAATAGCTGCAAAGAGAATTTTCGTATGTCTTGCAGGAAGCTCTATTACATGCCAGTCTTTTATCACAGAATAAATGTCTTGTTGACTGGGAATTGAATCTGAAGGTTTAGCTGCATCCTTGTACTGAACTTGTATTTTAATTTCCATTTGCAGGGAGAACATGTGTCCGATGCGCATGTTGAGAGAAGCTTTCAGGTCACATCACTTTCCTGGCATCCTTCCAGACCAATTCTTGCAGCAGGCTGGGAGACGGGAGAAGTTGTGATGCTTAACAAACAAGACAAGGAGCACCACACTGTACCACCAAATCATAATGCCAAAATTACAGTCCTAAACTGGAGTACAAATGGTACCCACCTCGTGTCTGGTGATAGAGTGAGTAGTTGAAATACCAGATGAGTGTTTGATGTAGCACACAGTGTTGCAAGCCCTCTGATGGGAAGTGATTATGGAATGGGTTGTTAGGTGAAGAGATAGTTGCAGGGGGGATAAATTTCCTCACTTTAGGTACAAATTACAACTGTTAGGGAGTAAAATCAAATCTCAGTTGTTTTAACTTTTTCTACAGTGCTCCTTGCTGTTTTATCAATTTATCTTTAAGTAGAAGTGTATCTAAGATCAGTATGTGCTGAACAGTAGATTAGAGTTTAAGGCTATTTAATGGATGGGATAATTGAGGCATAGACAATTTGAATTATTTGCTCCTGTCTATGCATGAATTTTGTAGCAGACTACAGCTGAATTCTGGCTACAACATATTCATCCATAGTGAGTGCATAGCTATGCTTACTTAAATAGAGAAAACTAATGCTAATCTCTGCTGTTCTTATTAATAGTCTAAAAATGAGTCAGATTTATTGTGCAGAAAATATGTTGCGGAAATACTTGAAATGTGATAGTCTTTATTTCCTGATGAGCTGGTTGCCCTTTTATATAGTGAAATGAGAAACTAGCTATTGAATATTTAGTATTCAGGATTAAGTATTCATAGAAGATTCTGGTTTTGCCAGTTCTTGAGTAAGCAAATGAAAAAAAAAAGGTGGGTTTTTCTGTATTTTCCCTGATATAAACTTGAGCTTGTCCAAGAATTTAATTTCTGCTCTTTGAGAATTCTTACCTATGTGACTCAGAGGAAAATACAATTTTAAATCATTGTTTGTAAAATTCTGTTGCTGCATTTGACAGAAATGAAAAATTGAGTAAAAAATTAATTCATCCTCTTCTTTGTGAGAAAAGAGATAGTGCTGCCCAGACGAAGGTGACGTACCGTGTAACTGAGGCCTTGTTTATATGGAGATAATATGTTAACATAGCCACAGCTTACATTAAACCTACATTTATGAACAAACTTTTTTCAAATTTATTGATTTGGTGTCAAAACACAGTAATGAAGTCATCTTAAAGTAGATATAGCCATCCTTATAGTAAAATTTAACAATTTTATAGTCTCATCCTAACTGTTCTTCTGATGAGGGTATTAATCAAAGTAGAATAAGCAGTGGTTTCAAGGAAATACCTTAACATGACAAAACAAAGCCTATGCACGTGTTGACATGAATGCTCTTCAGTTTCATGTAGTTTCAATTGCTGTAGTTGGAAAGACCAACCACAATAGATGGAACAGCAGAGCTCCATGGTGTCCCTAGCCGAGGAAACGTGGGTCCTCACAAACCTGCAGCTGTGAGTGTGGTGGCCAGCTCGAGCTAACTGGCTTTGCTCAGAGCCCAGGCTTGTGAGGCTGAGCCTGCAGATGGTTCAGCATCCCGTGGCTAGCTCCAGGATGGTGTCTCTGCCCCATGCTGCACTGGGTGGGCCTTTGTGTTGCACATTCAGTGTCATTGTACCGTGGTTCAGTGTTCAGCATAGGGATGCTCTGTTTCCCACATCTTTTCCAATAGCTTTTAGGTTTATTTTTTAAAATGTTTCCCATTAAGATTTATATTCAGGAAGCTTCCATTAGGTGAATGCTGTCAGGATCATACTCTATTCATAATAGAGGAACACCCCTAGAAAGAAGATAAATATTTGGGCCCTGATTTGGTTTCTGTTTGATCTTCAGTGGGGTGTCCTAACTGAGAATGCTCAGCTGAAAACATTCGGTTGTCATAAATCCTGAGTTGCGAGAAAATTATTTGAAAATAACTTCTTAAAGTTAGAATAGGATTCTGTGGAAATCAGAAGCTCTTAATAAGTATTTTAAGTAAAAAATAACATGGATGACTTCCAGGTTTCAGTCACACAAAAGACTACTAAGGATCTAGGTGCTTTCTATAATTAAAGTGTATTTATGAGGCAAATAGGCTTTATAACAAGAAGCTAAAGCTATGGGTTGTTAAGAATGATTGGGAAGATACAGGTTACCTTAAGAGTAAATCTTAGAGATTATAAGGTCAATGTCCTTTGTCCTTTTCAAATGCCATTTGAAAACAGACCAGTTCTGCATCCTTTCTGTAACCAGTCACACTTAGAACAGTTAGTGAGCTTTTTCATTTCCAGTCTCATGTGTTCCAAACTCAGAATTGAGTTTGCAACCAGGTTATCTGGATACAGGATGGCGTATCTAGAATGGGATGGAAGGAAGGTCAGCAGCTTTATAAAGCTGCAGGCTTTTCCTCCAGCTTATAAATGGTGCAGGTGTTCTTCGTTGGGATCCCTGGAATTTGGTGACATTTAAAGCTGAGAGAAAAGTGAGGGGAGGAGCCAACAGGACATGAACTTTCAGATCATAAGATCCTGTGATTTCCAGAGGTAACCAGCAAACATTGTACGAACCGTGGTTGGCTGTTGGAACAGGAGATGCACAGCTGTGTCACACTCTTTAAGCTATGAGAGACAGCACTGCACTTAATAAACAGTTTTGGGTGGTATAAATATTATCTTACTGCTGAAAAGAAATTAGAAATTTGATTCTTAGGAAAAAAAGAAGGAAATGGTACCTTTGAAGGCCTCAGCTGCATCTCATGTGGCTTCTAGTTAGGATTGTGAAGAGTAAGTGTTTAGAATGTACCACTGCTACTTGTCTTTCACTTCTAGAAAGACTGTACTCCACTGAAAACAATACAGAAAAATAGAGCAAATTATAATACCACTTTATTATTTATCTTAATGAAATAAAATTAGATTGAACTTTGTATTGCAAATTATTGCTGTTTTTTTTCATGTAACACGCAGAGGGCCTCCAAATGCAATTTGGTTCACTAAACACTAACATAATAACAACAGTAAATAATAATCTTAAAATTCCATCTGTGAGGCTGTAGCATAAGTCAGTTTGCTGGGATGGTTAATGTGTATGTCATGCTGAACTGTCTTTTTGCTTCTTTGCCTTATCAATTCTTTCCAGTCACCAGGGTTTTGGTGCTCATTCTGAGCTCTCACTGCAAAATGTGTGTTAACTTCAGCACCTGTGCCAGGCTCTGAGGGCCAACTTATATTGACTGCTTTTGAGTTAATTAGCTAGCCAAACTTCCTTTATTTAGTGTCTATGATTCTTCTAGTTACTAAGTTCTGTTCCTAAAAATGAATTCTTCTTGTACTTGCATGTCTACTCTAATAGAAGAGGAAAGCTCCAGAAATTTTGAAATCCTTTCCTTGAGTTATCTGTATCCCATGGCTTCACATCTGTCTAATCATATACCTATGCTCATCTATATGCACTTACTCAGGGATGCATATCTTATGCTTTACTACCCTTTATCTCAATATCTTTTGTTTTAGCGCTCAGACTACTTGCAAGAAAAAATGGGAAGGGTGTTACCTGAACAAATATTTGCATATGCTACTTGCAGAGGAAAACCAAGGCTGTTTAATTAATTGCTCTGGCAGTGTCATTTTACTAAGAAAGGATATGACCAACAAGATTTTTTAGATAACTTGATTTTAAATAAGCAGATAATATAAGGTTAAAGATAATTTATGCTCCTTATAGCTTAGTTTTAAGTGGGAGTAAGTGTATGTGTCAACTAAATGAAAGGAAAAGTGTTGTTCTGTCAATAAAATGTTTAATTTTATGTCCACTGAGTACCTGGAATCTGGATTCTCATCTGTGTGCAAAGTGTAATGAATTAACTGTTGACTCTTCCTAGTACGGTGTCTTGGTTCTATGGAGAATGGACCAACGAGGCAGAGTGCAGGGACCTGCCCTGCTGAAGCAAGAGTATGGAAAATGTCTGTCTCACTGTGTCTTTCGACCACCTCCTCCTGGAGAGTAAGTATTGTGCCCTGTCAGAGCACAGGCAGAGCAGTCTTTCTCTTGTTCCACAGAAAGGAAACCCTACTCACAGACAAACCTTTTTTTAAACAGATATTAAAAAAAATTCTTCTCCTAGCTGTCCTTTATTTCCAGGTTCTTCTCCCACTCTAGTAGCTGGCTATTTGTGTCCTGTATGCAGCAACAGATCTTCCTTTTGTCCATATCTTTCTGTCTGTTGCTGTTGACTCTTCTTCCTTTAGTTTTTCTAATTAGCGATGTTGCTGATTGTGAAAAGCAGAAAGCACACTGAAAACACAATTATCCATGAAGTTATTGGCAAGAATAATTAAATAAAAAGTAAGTTCTTAGACATTATTTATTTCCTCTCCAAGGAAGAAATAGGAAACAGCTCTAGTAAAAAAAAAAAAAAGAATTTTCCTTGTCTGAGCCACTTCTCTTTTAACATCTCTATAAAAATAATGATGCTTATGAAATAGGTGAAACAATGCAAATGAAAACTAGTATTAAAATTTTGCTTTATATCTTTTCGATTTTGTCCTTTTTCCAATCAGTGTATGAAACACCTTTATTTTCTCTTTACCGTGTGTTTTATTAACTACTAATCCATTCTTTGAGATGGAAAGTACTCTGTTCTGTAAGGAACTAGAAATTAAGTATCTGTTTGCAGGGACTTTGTACAGCTGGCAAAAGCAGCTGTGAGTGGTGATGAGAAGGCCTTGGATATGTTTAACTGGAAAAAAGCTGGAACGGGAGCACCTCTGAAATTGGGACTCCAGGAAGGACTCTCCTTCTTTATCACTTTGATAGATGGTAAGAGCAAAACCACTTTTCCAGTCTGCTGCAAATGTGTTTCCTTAATGCTTCAAAATAGCTCAGTGCATAATAGTCTTGTTTTCATATATCCAACATTTAGAGTATATCCATATATCCATCATATTCATGTGTCCAAGAGGATAGAGTATTCATAGGAGTTGAAGAATGTTTTGTAAGAAGAAATAAATAAAATTATTAAAATCTTAGTATCTTCAGGTCAAGTCCTCTCTGAAAGGACACCGTAGGTATTGGATTCATCAGGTTCACAAAGAAGTGAGTGTAAGGAAAGCGATCTCTAACACCTGAGTGTAAATCAGATTAGAAATGGTCAGCATTTTGTGCAAGGCTTCAAAATAATGCATGTGCTGTGGGTTTTCTTTCTAGAAATAGGCAAATGTTGCTAGAACATACCTTTTAAAATTGTTAATTTACTTTTTCACTTTTTTCTCATGCTTCAGTCTAAGGAAGCAAAAAAGTCTGAGTATCTCTTTTGTTAGTTTTCTTCCTAATATCACTCCTTCCCTGCCATTTGTCTTTTCCTCTCCCTTTTACTGTTCTGGGTACTAGTTTGCTCTGAGCTCATTTTCTTCCTACCCTGGTTGTTCTCATACCTCCTATCTCTCTAACCTGCTGACTCTTTGGACTGGAGCCAGAATGTGTGTAACAGGTATTGTAATGAGTATGTTTCTGGTAGGTGATTCAAGTCCGTAATCCTCTCGATTCAAGCGTTAACTACTTCAAAAAACATTTAAGTTATGCTAGTTCTTCAGCTCAATTACAGTTTGATTCAGTGTTTACATTATACAGAATGAGACCCATCATTTATACCAGTATAGCCTTCTGTATGATTGCAGGAGTCGCATTTGCCAGCTGTATGTTTGCTTTGCTGCATCTTCACTTGATTTGTGAGTTACGAGCCTTTTTACAAGATATGAACCATTTAAATGAAAAAGGGATATAGGGCACTTAAACGTACAAGGGAGAGAATCTTTGAGTAGCTGTGCCCGTTAGACCCTCACTTTCAAAGAAACTGTTGTGGTGGTACACAGCTCCATCTAGGGACAGGCTCCGTATCCTGCAAGTGGGTGTCCACACCATGTTTCTTGGACCTCCTTGTTCAAATTTTCCAAATTTCAGTCAAACGACACTGACCGTTTCTTTTGAGCAGACTCATTGCCTAGGTTGATTTGGGCATATGTATTTGGAACCCAGTTCTTAATCTAGTAAGTGATCTTTCATAACTTCAGAATCAGTTAATGTTTTGATAGTGTTTAAATGTAACCTGTAAATTTCCTCTAAAGTATGGACTCTGAGTCCAAACTTTTTAATAAAACCGAATTAAAAACCCCAAAACATTCTTATTGCATGCTTTTAAATATCTCAAAAGAAATTTGACTAAAGACAATAGGGCATTTTTTAAAGCAAAACTAAATAAACAGTTAAGCTCCTCATGAAAGCCCAAAACAAAACAAAGAAACCTCCCAAGTTTCAAGGATCTATTAATCTAGATATTTTTTGATGCCTCCAAGACACTGATCGTTGTAGCAAAACAATAGTTGCAATTCAGGTAATATGTTACATGAGATGCTTATCTGGAGAGTGGATACTTGAACTGATAATTTTTGGAGGTTATTTTGCAACACTTTTCATGAGCACAAGGAATCATCTTCGCTACTGAGCATTTCAAATGACTGGCAGAGGTATTGGGACATAACCTGAATAGCTGAAGTAATCCTGAAGTTTTTACTGACTGCACCCTTCTTTGTCTTCACTGCAAACATTTTAGGTCATGAGTAATAATTCTCTTCTGGTCCTCTTTGCATTTCCTAAGAAACATACACTTTCTGCTGCTTTTTGTCTCCTGAATGTCAGAGTTACTTGCTCTACTTCTAACTACCTTAGATTTTTTAACTTTTGAGATCAGTCTCTTGTGTGATACAGTGTGAAAACTTTCTTAAATTTACTCAGAAAGCTATAAGCCTCTTCCTAACCACCTAAGTAGCTTCAAAATAGTGGGTAGTGTTATCTGTGTGATACCTGATACTTTGCATGGTAATATCCAAGTACAGAAGTTTAATTTAACTTATGAAACAATTTCAGATGTCAAATAAAATCAAGGGATTGTCCACTTCTTGTAAAAGATCCCATTAAACTGAGATTCGATAGATGATCAGTTACTGCAATGTATTGCTACAATAAACAGATATCTGTGATAAAAAATGCTACATTGGAGAACTATCCCAACAATCCCCAGGATCACTACAGACTGGGTGATAAGTGGATGGAGAGCAGCCCCAAGGAGAGGGAGTTGGGGGTTACTGGTGGGTGAAAATCTGCCCGTGACCCCAGCACCATGCGCTCACAGCCCAGAACCCACCCGTGCCCTGGGCTGCAGCCAGAGCAGGGGGGGCAGCAGGGCCAGGGAGGGGATTCTCCCCCTCTGCTCCGCTCTGGGGAGCCCCCCCCTGCAGTGCTGGGGCCAGCTCAGGGGCCCCCAACAGCAGAAGGACCCGGAGCTGCTCGAGCGGGGCCAGAGGAGGCCACGGAGATGCTGGGGGGGCTGGAGCAGCTCCCCTGGGAGGCCGGGCTGAGAGAGTTGGGGGGGTTCAGCCTGGAGAAGAGAAGGCTCCGGGGAGCCCTTCGAGCGGCCTCCCAGGGCTTAAAGGGGGGACAGGAGAGGTGGGGAGGGACTCTGGATCAGGGGGTGGGGGTAGGGTGAGGGGTGACAGTTTTAAACTGACAGAGGGCAGAGTTAGATTAGATCTAAGGCAGAAATCCTTCCCTGTTTGGGGGGTGAGGCGCTGGCCCAGGATGCCCAGAGCAGCTGTGGCTGCCCCCTCCCTGGAAGGGTTCAAGGCCAGGTTGGACGGGGCTGGGAGCCCCCTGGGCTGGGGGAAGGGGGCCCTGCCTGGGGCAGGGGGGTTGGAACTAGATGTTCTTTAAGGTCCCTTCCCACCCGAACCAGTCTGTGATTTAACAAGAGAGATGAATGAAGTTATCTGTTCAGTGTTTTGTTTCAGGGAGAAATTTATACTGTGTGGGAGGAGGTGGGAGAAGAGTTTGAATTTTTTTTTATATGGTTGGAATGTAACAGATGATTAAGTATTTGCAAGAGTTTTGGAAATTAAAACATTCTTTTTAATTACATCGTATTGCCTTTTGGATACAATATTTTAGCATGGATCCTTAATGTTTGTTCTTATACATTTGTGGTTCCTGCTTCAGCTTTTGGAGGAAAATATTTTTTCATGTCATAGGGTTTTTGGATTTGCACTGGTTTGAAATGACACATTTATATAATATGATTTGCTAGGAAACTGTGTATGTGTGTGTGGCATGACATCTGTCCGATTTCTGTTACTTCATTTGTTTGGGTGATTTCTGTAATACCATTATAAGCTGTAATACTAATTCTGGGGTTTTTCACTGGGTAGACCTATGCATGACTTATACAGTATTACAATTTGACAAAATGGTAATGGCTTTTAAAATGTTGATAGGGGCTGTAGCTGCCAAGTCACACACTATGTTGTCTATTCTCAGAAAGACACTATCCCATTTGCTTGTGAAATAATGTAGAAAAGCTGTTTTTAGTGTGTGTGGTGGAATGTTTCTAAACCATAACGAAGAACTTCATATCCATAGTTTTCTATAAGCTAGACTGCTGTGAATCGTACCAGTTGTTAGCCGCTGTTCTTCCTTCATAAATTACTGTCAATACTGAAGATTTCAGAAGCCATCATTCATATACACATATGCAGAAAGAGTATTCATAGTTTAAAATCATTTAAATGATTCCCCTCTGGATTTCCTAGATGGGGAAAAGGTAAGTAAGTTTTGGTTTATTCCTCTGGGCAACTATCATAATCACTGACCTGAGACAAACTAGAAGACAAAAGAATTACGGTTATTTTAACTTTTCAACACTTGAGGAATATTTTATTAAGGTAGAAAGCAGCAAGTTTGATTTTTGTAGCTAAAAACTGTTTACTAAAAACTGTACTTTCTTTATATGTACTGCAGGTTCTGTGCATTACGTGAATGAGAAAGGAAAGACAAGGCATGCATTTTCCACAGACAGTCTGGTCCAAAAGCTTCTGTTCATGGAGAAAAGAGATGTTTTAGTTGTAGTAACAGAGAAGCTGCAGTTGTCCTTGCATGCAATTACTCTTGAGGGAGAGGCAGAAGAACTTGTGAAGGTGAGACTCGGACTACAGGGTAAAGTTGCAGTGTTTGATCTTTATAAGTATTTGTTAGATTATTTTGATTATCACTTTTTTGCTTACAGATGAATCGACTCTCGTTTTTGTTTCTCAGATCATACTTTGATGAGCAAGTATACGCTCATTTAAAAGTGGAATAGAATGGTGTGTTAGTGAACTTAGAAGGATGGTTTTCATCTTGCCTTCCTGTTTTTTCTTAGTTTCTTTCATTTTGACCCTATGTTAATCCTTTCACACTTCATTTGCCTTGTCTTAATGAATTAGAGAAGAATTGAAAATTCCAGTATAATCAAATATTTGTTAAAATATCTTGTGGATAAATTGTTGATAATCTGTGTCCTCATTTTTATTATCATCAGTCGCTCAGAGCTGTCTCATCTTTCAGATTAGTAGGAGCAGTACCTCCTCTTGGTGATAATGTCTTTGTCTGCAAATCTGAAAGATGGTTTAGTTCTTACATTTTGAAAGTGTTCTTCAAAGTTGTAAAGGCTAGGAATCATAGAATCATAGAATAGTTTGGGTTGGAAGGGACCTTAAAGATCATCTACGCCACGGGCAGGGACACTTTCCACTAGACCAGGTTGCTCAAAGCCCCGTCCAACCTGGCCTTTAACCCTTCCAGGGAGGGGGCAGCCACAGCTTCTCTGGGAAACCTGTTCCACTGTCTCACCACCCTCATAGTGAAGAATCTTTTCCTGATACCTAATCTAAATCTACCCCCTTTCATTTTAAAACCGTTACCCCTCATCCTATCCCTACACTCCCCAATAAAGAGTCCCTCCCAATCTTTGCTGTAGCCCCCTTTAAGCACTGAAAGGATGCTATAAGGTCTCCCTGGAGCCTTCTTTTCTCCAGACTGAAAAACCCCAACTCTCTCAGCCCCCTGATCATCTTTGTGGCCTCCTCTGGCCCCGCTTGAGCAGCTCCGTGTCCTTCTGATGTTGGGGCTCCAGAGCTGGCCCCAGCACTGCAGGGGTTTCTCACAAGAGTGGAGTAGAGGGGGAGAATCCCCTCCCTGGCCCTGCTGCCCCCCCTGCTCTGGCTGCAGCCCAGGGCACAGGTGGTTTATGGGCTGCGAGTGCACGGGGCTGCCTCACAGGCAGTTTTTCATCCACCAACATCCCCACGTCCCTCTCCTTGGGGTTGTTCTCCAGCCACTCCTCGCCCAGCCTGGGTTTGTGCTGGGGATTGCCCCGACCCACGGGCAGGACCTTGCCCTTGGCCTTGTTGAACTCCATGAGGTTTGCCTGGGCGCCCCTCTCCAGCCTGCCCAGGTCCCTCTGGATGCCATCCCTGCCCTCAGCGTGTCCACCACCACACAGCTCCGTGTTGTCAGCCAAGTTGATGAGGGTGCAGTCGATCCCACTGTCCGTGTCTCCAACAAAGGTGTTAAAAAGTTCCAGTCCCAACACCAACCCATGATGACAGCCACTCGTCGCTGCTCTCCACTTGGACATCAAGCCATTGACCACAGCTCTTTACTGCGACCATCCAGCCAATTCCTTCTCTACCAGGTGATCCATCTGGCAAGTCCACGTCTCCAATTTAGAGACAAGGTTGTCATGCGGAACAGTGTCAGAAGCTTTGCACAAGTCCAGGTAGAAGATGTCAGTTGCTCTTCACTTATCCACCAGCGCTGTAACCCCATTGTAGAAGGCCACCAAATTCACTGGGCATGATTTGCCCTTAGCAAAGCCCTGTTGGCTGTCACCAATCACCTCCTTATTTTCCACGTGCCCTAGCATAGTTTCCAGGAGGATCTGCTCCATGATCTTGCCAGGCACAGAGACTGGAACTGTAGAGTGGCCTGTAGTTCCCTGGGTTTTCCCTTTTTCCCCTTTTAAAAATGAGGTTATGTTTTCCCTTTTGCAGTCAGTGGAAACTTCACCAGACTGCCACGACTCCTCAAATATGAAGGATAGTGGCTTATCCACTTCATGTGCCAATTCCCTTGGGACCCACAGATACGTGTCATCAGGTCCCATGGACTTGTGCATCCTCAGATTCCTTAGATGGTCTGGAACCTGATCTTCTCCTACAGTGTGTGGTTCTTCATTCTCCCAGTCCCTGCCTTTGCCTTCTGCATCTTGAGCGGTGTGACTGGAGCACTTGTCAGTAAAGACTGAGGCAAAAGAACCATTGAGTGCCTCAGCTTTCTCCATATCACAGGTAACCAAGTTTTCAGTTTCCTTCTGGATAGAGTCCACATTTTCCTTAGTCTTCCTTTTATCACCAACATACCTATAGAAGATTTTCTTGTTGTCCTTGATGTTCCTGGCCAGATGTAATTCTATCAGGTCTTTGGCCTTTCTAATCCTATCCCTGGCTACCTGGGCAGTTTCTCTGTATTTCTCTGTATTTTTAAAAGGAAGCGTATAAAAAACAACAACCCACAAGTCACAGAATCACAAATAGTAACATAGTGATTCCAAAATTATCCTATGGGGTCTAAAAACAAACTGACCTCATCCAGGACTTATAATCACTTTGGCTTAAATAAAATACTGTACTGTTGATGAATACTGTTTGAGGGGATGGAACGCAAACCTTCCCCTTCCTAAGTTTTTTTTTTAACTTTTATCTAAGATCAAAAAGGACTGGGCACTTATGTATTACAGGGCTGTCTACTTCTTATTAATTAATCATTACTTATTTTTGACTAGAAGTAAGATTTGGTATTTCACATTTTAAAGCAATCTTTATCAGGTTCTAGGGGAAGATCTAGTACAAGAGACAAAAGCTGCTCCTTACCTACTTAATTAACCCAGTACAAGGTTTCTTTTATTAAATTTATACATCATATAGTTGGTGCATTTAGTGGTGATCACTGCCTGAGAGAAACTATTGATCTATCTGAACTGACAGACAGGTCTAGTTATTCTCATTTTAAGTTTTTAGCTAAACTAGGCAATTCAGATGCTTACTGTCTTTCAAGTGTGTGCTCCTACCATCTATAAACCTATTTATTTACTTGTTAACAGGTGAAGTTGAGTGGGAAGATAAATCATTCTGCAGACATCATTTTAATAGACAATAGCCTTGTTACAGCACTAGGTGAGACAGTCATCAGGTAAGAATCCTGTTTGAAAGCTGTTTTGGTTGCCCGTGAGAAGTGCCAGCTAAAAGGTTTATAGTCTACAATGCAGACCATCTTTTACTGAACTGTATTTTTTTAAACCAATAATGAAAAAAACTCCCAATATTTTCTAATTTTGTTTCTCAAAATAAATAGAAAAATTAACTGAAAAATCTATTTCCATGAGGACAGAAATGAATTCTATATATCTTCCTTTGTTTTTGTATATCTATATTCTGTTTTGTCAGGCAGTACTACCCAAACCTGTTCCTTTTTGTTACTGATTTCTTCTGAAAACATATATGCATTTATGGTTTTTGCATGAAAAAGATAGCCACTTTGCTGTTCTTTCCGTTGTTATCGTCTGATTGTTAGGATAGTCACAGCATTAGCAACAGTGAAAAAAGTGCATGCTTTTCAGGATGTTTTTTTGTTACTGTAATATAAGACAAGTATTTCGCTTACTTCTATCCCCAGTTCTTTAAAAAATGTATGTTACTTTGCCATGCTGCTACGGTATCATGTTCTGTAGTTTTTATCTTTTTGCATGTTTTTAAAAAAGGTATTAAATCTTCTTCTTCCCTGTCTTTACTATGACATGCTCTATTTGTTTCCTCTACCTTTTTTGTGAGAGTGGGGGTGTTCCATTAACATCAGCAGTTCACTTTCTTGAGCCTCTATCTTCTACTACCAGATAAAATCATCTGTTAAATTTGTGAGTGTGTGATAAGGACCAGGTATCAAGAAGGAATATGTCTGATGACAACTTTTAGTTCTAGAAAATACATCTGGAGTCCAAAGAACTACTGGTTAACCAAGGAATAGTCTTAAAACAGAGGAGGAAGCATAAGTAGAGAGGAGCAAAATTGCGACTTCACCTCACTGTGTTTTCTTTTTTTCTTAAATCTGGGTTTGCTCCTGACTCCTTTCTTCATAGGACAGTATCACAAAACATGCTGCAGAATAAAAAGTTAAAGAAAAAGGAAGGTGATTGTTAAGAAAGTCACATTCCAGAGGCAGTTGCTGGCAATTTAATTTTAAAAATTGAATGATTTGGGCATTATGGAAATAGCAAATGAATGCCACGTGCAGCATCCTATTGACTGTGTTTAGCAAGACACCTGGAAGAAAAAGCATTGTTAAAACGCTTGTTTTGTGTACCCTAGGTTCTGGGATTTGGACCGAGATGAGAACTATGTGCTCTCCCTAGATGTGCAATTTGGCTTTGAGGGAGGAGAATGCATTAACTGTGTTTCTTACTGCAGTGCTAAAGGTGAGAAATAGCATGGCAGCTGTGATCTCTGGATCCTAAACCTTGTCAAACTTCAGCCTTCAATGCCCCATAGTCATGTCAGTATTTTTGTCTTGTTACTGAGGATTTCAGTAGCAGCATGTGATGTAGAAGTGTTTTAGTTTGGATCAGGAGTGTGCTTTTGAAGGCACAATGAGGTCATTTGATACTCACCACACCTTGCCTCAGCGTGGAGTTGTCTTCTGGCACACAAGCTCAATTCCCTTTGATCACACTGAGCTGGTACAAGTACTCCTGGAGTACACCTAGTGCGCTCCAACCTGGTACAGGCATTCAGTCTATAAGCCCACAGTAGAGCTAATGCAAAGTAGAACTCACCAACCATATTTAGCGTGGTCCTTAAAACTGGTGTTTCTACAAAGCTATTCCCATGCATCACCTTGTTTGCCAGTGTAGGCATAGCTACTGTCTGCTAGAATGGGTTAATGGTGACTTGCCCGTGGTGACTACAAAACCAGCTATTAAAAAATAAGTGGTTAAAATGCAATCATTGTCTGATACGTTTAAAAAATAACTTTGTCTGTTAGCTTAGAAAATGGGCCTTGCCACATGAAACTTCTCTCATTGTTTCTCCAGAAAGTTTCTCCAGTTCAGGACTAGGATGCTGTTTTGCAGGAAGGCAAAGATGGATGCTGCTAGATGGAGGCTTCTCAGGACCTTAGAACCAGACCTAGGCTGCCTGCTACTTTGTATAATGTTGGTTTGTTTTTCTGAAGTGTAAGATACAAAATGCCTAAAAGGTTTGTGAATGGCAGGTCTCTTAGCAGCTGGTACTAACAAAGGGAGAATAGCTATGTGGAGGAAAGCAGCAGGATCCGATCAGAGTGTACGGGCTTTGGAGGGCAAGGAGAAGTGGAAGCTCCAGGCACCTACAGAACTTGAAGGAAATGTCACTCAGATAAAGGTAAGACGAGAGAGAGTGTTCTTGCATGTTAGTAGGACTTCACAAGCATTAGATGAATAGGTCATCTTTGTGAAACAGATGATGATTACTATCATACAGATATGTGCACCAGTAGAGACTGGTCCTCCTTCAGGAGAAGGAGGATAAGCCATCACGATCAAGTAACTTTTAAAATTGAAATGGGCAGAAAAAGTACCTGTTTGTAGCTATTCTGTTCCAGGCAGGGTTGAAATGCTCAGCAAGATAACACACTGAAATGCAAATACATCTCTCTGTGAGAACTGGCAATCACGGCATCCTTAAATCCAAACATGTCTCCATTTTATGTCTCATTGACAAACCCTTTGCATTCAGCACCCTGAAATTATTTTCTGGAAGATAGATTGTCAGAAATATCAAGTTTACATAAATTGATTAAAATAGCATGCAAGAAAATCTGACTAAATGCATGATTTTATTTGTAGAGAATTTTTTTCTTATTAGTCACTTTATCAATGTAAAGTTTGCTCTTACTGACAGCCGCAAAAAGAAAACAATGTATTTACAACCAAATATTCTTTGGTGAGAAGATGTGCCATCTGGAAGGGAATGTTGTATTTTTACACACAAAATTATGTTTTCATCTGTTTTTTTTTGTCAGAAAATATTTCTTGTTTGCTAGATAATATTTTTATATGTGCCGGCATCAGACTAGATGTGGATATTAAGTTCTCTTTTACAAATGTGCAGAAACAATGCTTTACAACATTTCTACTGCTCTTTACAATATTTTAATGCTGAAGGTTATGACAATACATAGCACTATAATATTTATTTTTTAACCCATTGTCTGTTAAGTGTCAGGGTGCAACATTTTTATTTATTTGAAATATTTTCATTTGTCACAGTAAGTTTAAACGCTGTCATTCTATGCTTACTAGCATTTTGATATATAGAAAAGAGAAATGCTGACAGTTAGAATCATAAATTTAAATTTAAAAAGTTTTACATTAACAAACATTTAGCTTTTTTGACCACCACCATTCTGCTAAAAGGCAAAGCTTGTGCTTTTAGCTCCTCCTGCTTTTTTTGTTTTGTTTGTTAAACCCTATTATTAATTTTTTCCCAGTTTTTTTTTTTTAGAATTTCTGTTATAACTTAGTTTATTCTGTTGCTGTGCTTAATATTTGGGAACAATACTCATTTTCTTTTGGGAGTAATGAAAATCAAACAAATATATCTGGTGCCTTTCAAGAGAAAGTAATTTTATGTTTTCTTTTATTCTGTTTTCACATAAGAATGCAAAGTATTTAAAAAACAATGGCATTTGCTTGCTCTGGGTTGGCATATAGCAAGGGTCTGTATCAGAGTCCTACTTAAAAATTAAAACACAAGTACTACTAAAGTAGAGAACTCAAATCTTTTGTTAAGATATTTCAGTAACAAAAGGTCCAGGATATAGGAAATAGTGTGTGCCATTAGTATATCGTACATCTGCTAATAAATTGAGGGAAGGGAAGAGATATAGGTGTTTATGTCAGCTTGACCATTCAAGCATTTTCCAGATAACAGGATACGGAGTGCTGTCCAGAAATAGCACCTTGTTCCTAATGTTTGTTAGCATAAACAAAAGCATTGCCAAACAACTGTCAACAATCACTGTGTTTTTATCTCATGTTATAAGGCTGTCTTTAATTATGGAAACTCTAGATTATTTTTTATTGTAATGCTTACATTCCAAAAAATATTTTGTAAAAGATTTTAAAAATCGTTACATGTGGAATCTTGTTGTAATTCCTGTAAAAGCCTTTTCCTATATTACCATAAAAAACTTAGAATAGAAAGCTATATACCATGCTGAGGTCAAAGGGCAGCAATAACTTCATGTGACTCCTTGCCAACCTCATCTTTTTTCAACCTGATATGGTGGCCTCAAAGAGAGGTGGTTGGGAAATGTACTCTAGCTCATCTATTGTGCAGCATAAAATTTAGTTACTTGTAATGAAGCACCATTAGGAAGAACCCCCCCCATAGCTTTATTTCTTAGATCATGCTCTTGAATAAAATGGAATTATTTTCAAACGCAACTATTTAAATCAGTATTGTTTGAAAGGTATAGCCACAAAAATATCAGTGTATCAGGAAATTAATAGGAAACATTGAATAACTTTGAGGGAAGCAGATACCTTAGAGACTTGGCATATCCCTAGAGTTTATAGGATTTATCAGTCATGCAAGGACAGAGAAGTTCTTGGACTTCAAAGGGATTTTCTGCAGCTCCGAGAAACTATAATTTATCTAGCCCATGAAAGTATGTCTGTATGAATGGTCTCTGATAGGTTAAAAAAAACAAACCAAACCAAACAAAAAAACAGCCCCAAGCCCCTCTGCCTGTTCCCTGGAGCCCAGAGGGAGCTCCTGTGCTGAAGCTGCACAGGGAGCTATGGACTCTGCTTATCAGGGAGCAGCACTGGTGGTGTGTGGCAGCTCAGGAGTAGTTCCCCTGCACTCCCATGCATAGTTACAGCTTCCAGACTGGAGTTTGGATCGCTTCTGGCTAATGTGGTATGTGCAAAGAGTTCACATGTAGTCAGCTGGTTGCCACAGTCTTTCTGGCAAGAATAATTTTTTGGTAGGAATAAACATAAATAATGTCAGACATCCTTGTTTAACTCTGAATATAGAAAGAAAGAATGAAAATGGGAGCATTGCTTTCTCTTTAATAATAACTAGCTGCATGTTAGAAACTGTCTTTGCAAGCCTTCTTGAAAACAGTTCTTATCTTTCTCCCATTGAATTTTGTAAGTTATTTTCAGCTTTAGAATTACTCTGTGTAGGTGCTATTTTTCAGTCTTTAAAGGAGGGAAAGGTAACCTTCACAGAACTAACTGAAAAAGAGTTAGCTGGAACATGGAGGTTCTTCCAGGAGAAGCGAGTTGGAAGCCACCATGCTGCTAGAAAGCTATGACCTAGTTGCCATTACTGAAACTTGGTGGGATGGATCCCATGACTGGAGTGCAGCTGTCAATGGCTACAGGCTGTTCAGAAGGGATAGGCAAGGAAGGAGGGATGGAGGGGTTGCCCTCTACATCCAGGAGTTCACAGTCCTGAGGGATATGGATCAGGCAAAGAGTAAAGTCAGGAGCCTGAACTTTAGGAAAGCAGAATTCCAGCTGTTCAAGGAGTTACTCAATAGGACCCCCTAGGAAACTGCCCTCAGGGACAAGGGAGCAGAACAGAGCTGGCAGATCTTTAAGGACACTTCCCATAGAGCACAAGAGCTCTTGATCCCCAGGTGTAAGAAATCAGGAAAGGACACAAGAGATCAGCAGGGATGAGTTGAGACCTGCTAGGTGAACTAAGGGTCAAGAAGGAAATGTGCAGGTAGTGGAAGCCTGGACAGATATCATGGGAAGAGTATAGGGACACTGCCCAGTTATGTAGGGATGGGGTCAGGAAGGCCAAAGCGTGGATTGAGCTGAACTTGGCAAAGAATAATAAGAGCTTCTACAGGTATGTCAGCCAGAAAAGGAAGGTCAGGGAAAGAGTACACCCTCAAATGAACACAACTGGCAAACTGGTAACAACAGATGAGAAGGCTGAAGTACTCAACTTTTTTGCCTCAGTCTTCACTGGCAACCTCTCTTCCCACACTCTTGAGTGAATGGACCTCAAGGCAGAGATGGGGGGAGCGAAGTCCTTCCCACTGTAAAAGAAGATCAGGTTTGTGACCACCTGAGGAACCTGAACATCCAGAAGTCTATGGAACCCGATGAGATGCATACCAGAGTCCTGCGGGAGCTGGCTGATATTGTTGCCAAGCCACTCTCCATGATATTTGAAAAGTCATGGCAGCCAGGTGAAGTCCCTGGTGACTGGAAAAAGGGGAACATTGCACCCATTTTTAAAAAGGGTGAAAAGGACGATCTTGGGAACTACCAACCTGTCAGCCTCACCTCTGTGCCTGTGATGATCATGGAACAGATCCTCCTAGAAGTTATGCTAAGGCACGTGGAGGACAGGGAGGCGATTTGAAACAGCCAGCATGTCTGCACCAAGGGCAGGTCTTGCCTGATCAACCTAGTGTCATTCTATGATGGAGTGAGTACATCAGTGCACAAGGGAAGAGCTATGGATGTCATCTATCTGGACTTCTGCAAGGCCTTTGACATGGTTCCCATGACATACTTCTCTCTAAACTGGAGAGATATGAATTTGATAGATGGACTGTTCATTAGATTAGGAATTGGTTGGATGGTCACATCCAGAGGGTGGTGGTTGAGTGCTCAATGTCCAGATGGAAATCGATGATGAGTGGTGTTCATCAGGGATCCACACTGGGACCAGTACTGTTTAATATCTTTATCAATGACGTAGACAGTGGGATTGAGTGTACCATCAGCACATTAGCAGACGACACAAAGCTGAGTAGTGTGGTTGACATGCCTGAGGGGTGATGGGATGTCATCCAGAGAGACCCAGACCAGCTCAAGAATTGGGCTTACATGAACCTTATGAGGTTCAACAAGGTGCAACCCCCAGTATCAATACCCTGTTGGAGTGGGTCCAGAGGAGGCCACAGAAATGATCAGAGGGATGGAACACCTCCCCCCTGGGGAAAGGCTGAGAGAATTTCTGTTGTTCAGCCTGGAGAAGAGAAGGCTCTGGGGAGACCTTATTGTGGCCTTTCAATACTTAAAAAGGGGCTTCTAAGAAAGATGGGTACAGACTTTTTAGTAGGGCCTGTAGTGGTTGAACAAGGGGTAGTGGTTTTAACTAAAAGAAGGTAGATTCCGACTAGATATAAGGAAGACATTTTTTATGATGAGGGTGGTGAAACAGGTTTCCCAGAGAGGTGGTATATATCCCATCCCTGAAAACATTCAAGGTCAGGTTGGATGGAGCTCTGACCAACCTGGTCTAGCTGAAGATGTCTGTGGTCACTGTAGGTGGGTTGGACTAGATGACCTTTAAAGGTCCCTTCCAACCCAAACTATTCTATGATTCTATAAGGGGAGAAGTGTACTTTTGGACCCCTTTATCCTGATTTAGCACTTTTTTTTTTCTAGGGAATTTGAACTACATTTATGGAAAGGGTTATTAAAACCGCAGAAAAGAATATGGTAGTCAAAAAAGAAACTATGCATGCAGCTTGATTTTACAGATCACAGCATTATTAAGCCCTTTAAATCTGTGATGCTTTTCTGCAGTAGTGTATGTAAGGTGGTGCAATAATATCCTAGGAAAGAAAAGTGGTTTTTATTTAAAAAAGAGCTCCTCCCTTAGACTAAGGGAGTCTGAGTAGCTGGGTAACCAGCATAATAGTTTTAATCTGTAGTAATGACTAGTCAGTGACTATAGTTGTATTTAGATAGAAGGACTTTGTATATGTATAAAAATATTTATACTATTCTACCCCTTGTCATCTGTCTTGGGACATTTCTGTGAGTGTTCAGGATCTCAGATTAAATTATGTGTTGTGCTTTTTTTTTTTTTTTTTTTTTCCATTGTGTGCAGTGGGGCTCCCGAAAAAACCTGCTGGCAGTGAACAATATCAGTTCTGTGGTGATCCTCAGTGAGCGGGCCATGTCTTCTCATTTTCATCAGCAAGTAGCTGTTGTACAGGTGTCTCCCAACCTGTTTGATGTGACCATTTTCTGCACAGGAACCACACACAGTCTTCATGTTGATATGAACGTTAACGGAGTCTTCGTTACCAAGGTTAATTGGGGTTTTTAATTTATTTGCTTGATTATTTGCCTAGTTAGGTGTATGGAGATGAAACTTTCTGAGTCTTTCATATAACCCTTCTTTGATATTCAATTTATTACCTAATGGAAGTAATTTTATGATGGTAGCAATGATGCTGTGGTGCAGCTGATTTTCAGATAGTACAATGACTCAGTAATTCTCTGGGTGCTGACCAGAGAACTTCAGGGTTACCAAAAGCCTTCCAACTCAATATAGAGGAGAACTAGAGAATGGTGGCTATTGTGTGGAAGGTCTTGCTGTTTTATTGCATGAATTCCTGTATGATTCCAAAATAAGCTGAATGTATATATTCTTTTGCCTTTTTTTTGTATGGTTTAGGATGCTGTAGTATTCTGGAATGGGAAGCAAGTTACTGTCTTTGAGTGCTCAGGAGATACCTTCAGAAGTGCAGGTAGGACTTAGAACACTGATCAGAGTTGCAATGGTTCTCTTCCTCCAGAGTTACACATTCTCTTCATTCGTGAAAGCTGTAATTATAAGTGCAAAGTGAAACATATTATTAACACTGATTAGATTTCATATTCCCATTTTGCAGAATAGACAGATTAGGGTTTAAAAATCATCTACAGAACCAGAACTCAGATGCCAACTCCTACATCTGTGCTTTATTCAATAAATGTGCTGGGATATAATGTGTGGGTTAACCTCAGAATGAGTTGGTATTCCTCTATAGGAGTAGCAGTGTGGCAACAGAGGTAAAATGAAAGGTGACGTGCATCTGTAGGCATAAAATTAAAATATACATCCTCTTTACCTCTGTTCAGCTACAATCCAACCCTGGTAGTACCTAAAGATTAAATGTGCCTCATTCATAGAGTTCCTAAGACATCCAAGTGTGTGACTGACCTTGACAAAACCAAACACCTTGTTACTCTTTCCCACTGTCCTGACTGTCACACCTAGACTTGAAAGGAATCTTCAGAGCTAGCATATCATGTCGGGCCTTGCACAACACATAATACAAGGATAAGGCTGCCTCTTATCTTTTAAGTAAGTCATTCCAGCAGTTGATCAAGAACATAATTTTTTTCCTACTTTTGCAGCCATGGATCCTGTTGCCTTCTATGGATAGGTCATGGTAATGGCTGTTGAAGGCTTTTCTACTTTGCTTGGGAGCAAGTGTAACCAAGGTTACACAGCACTTACCATAGGAACCGGGAAGGAGTGGGTTTTAGTCCCAGCTGTCAGGAAAATCTGTTCCATAAATTACTGTATATACAGCTAAATCAAGTAAATTATTTTTTTCTATTATTAATTTTCCCTAAATATTTCTGCCTTGAGAAACAGGTTATGCAGAATTCCATCAATCCCATCCAAAATCTTGAGTGTTTAGGCTTTGTCTTTTAAAAACCATCAAGTGTTTCCTGAGAATTGACTTAATCTTGTCTGTATTTACTCATTTATTTTATAACTTTTCCATGCTGAATCAATGCCTTATTACCACCAAGGTCCCAACTGTCTACAACACTCACGAAATTATTTAAGAGTCACTCTTCTTTTCCGACAGAGATTCTTTTATCACTTTTCAGTTGTAGCTCAGTGAAGGAAGGAGTGAATTCTCTCAATGGAACCTCACATTGCACTCATCTTTTTCTTTCCTTCACTCCCTATATCAACTCTTTCCCCTTCCTCTTCCACTTGTTCTCGTGGGCAGAGTGTACAAAACAGCTGTTTTCAGTAGGAGTCTCAGCTTTTAACTGTAGTGGCAGAATGGAAGAAGGCTGCAACACCAAGGAGTTTGGGAATCAGTAGAGACTGACAGGTTGAAAAATGGATTTGGTGCAAGACAGTGGAAATGGAATGCTTTAAATCAAAATTATTATATTTTTTTCCCTTTTAAAAAATCCATTTTTGTAATGATGGCTTTGTGGTGATTGTTCCAGGCTCTTTTCTTTGTGACTCCCCAGTTCTGTCCATGCATGGAGAAAATCTGTACACAGTTGAGCCGTATAGGGTCCAGGTCCGCACCTGGCAGGTAAGGGCTGATGAAACCACGAACCAGTGAATATGTCTTACTGTTTTCAAAAGTTGGTGTTACAGCTTAAAAGTTAAGTGGATGTTTTGTAAATCTATCAACTTTACCTTTGTTATAGAAAAAAATATTTTGAGTATTTCAGCAGAAATATCTTTGACATTTTGTGTTCTTTAAAAAGTCTGTCACTTTAAAAACAACTGCACTGTAACTAATAAGTATTTATAAAAGAAAACAGAATTCTGTAGGGGTCAGACTTTAAGAGGATCAAAACTGCATGCAGGTGGAATATGCATACGTACATTACTGACAGGAAAATGAGCATACTGAATATTCTTATAAGGTAATGAAAAATACCCTCTGCACATTCTGTGTGTTCCCGCAAAATCTTTTGCTTAACTTTTGCAGCCTTTGCTACTCTGTGAGAACCAAAAAGAAAAATCTAATTATCAGAGTTCTATGATACATAACTTTTTTTAAGAAACAAATATTGTATTCAAGACTGGGTGCTTTTTATCACAATAAGGACTGATTTAATTAATATATTTGGTTTTGCAGCTTTATATTAAAGGACTTTCAGGGACCTGTACTTCTGTATCCCTTAGTTGGAAAAAGTTGTATTATTGATGTGGAAATCGTTGCAGAAGGATACCTCTAAATTTTTATTTTTTTGGAGACTATACATCCACTTTTCAACCTGAAACACAGATTGCATTTGTAGAGATTGTGTGCATGCGCATGTATGTGTGTGTGGTTTCTCTCATTTTGCTCATAGTGGTTTATCTAACATAGAAGTTCAGCAGTTAGCTACTTGGTGACAAAATAAGTCCCTTCTAGTTAGACCTTGAACACACAAACCTGGTGTTACATGTTTCTCCTCAGGGCACAGTGAAACAGCTGCTGGTGTTCTCTGAAGCAGAGGGGAATCCGTGCCTCTTGGATGTCTGCGGAAATTTCCTGGCTGTGGGAACTGATTTGTCTCACTTTAAAATTTTTGATCTGTCTCGCAGGTATTAATAAGCCTTTTAAAAACATCTGTTTATAATTGAGCACATATTTTGTGGAGGAGGGGGGATCTTTAGTTGGTTTTGATCTGATGAAAAGTGATAGCCACTTTGAATCTTGAGACAGTATGTGCAGCCTATGTGAACTGATCGCCCATCCCTGAAGCATGGGAAGAGCCACAGAATTATTAGACAAATCATGACATGAGTAACAGTTACAATTTTTAAAAGAGGGTATTGTGAGGGATATCTGTGTGTATTTGAAAGTGGGTGGAAAATTTATGGAGGATCAAAATAAGGATGTCCCTTGTTTCTGCTGATAACTTCGTCAAGACCTTAATCTCAGAAGAGTTGAAATAAAGACCAAAAAATGCTGGGTCTCACATCTCCTCATAAATCAACAAACTTGATTTGGTGAATCCATGGAGGAAGTGAACCTAGAATTGTGGACACTGTTCTTCTTCCTGTTTAGGTTACAAGAGAAGTTTACTTGACTTTATTAAAACTTATACTGTGTGTTCCCATGCCAACAAACAGCTGTGGCATGAAACAGATATGTGCCTAACATGACTTCCAGTTCAAAAATATGTCTGCTAGTGGCAAATGTAATTTTGAAAACTTGAAAAACCTCAAGGGTGAAATGGATTCTGTTCTTCCTTACATACTGTCACCAGAGGAATGATAAAATCTAGTTAGTTATCCATTTGGAAACTTGTTACCTGTGTTGGGATGGCACAAATTCTACATGGGATACAGTATGAAGTTTACTGGACTTGGGCAGGTTGTAACTAGCACAAATACTGGATTACGATGTTTGATAGTGGAGAAAAAATAGCTTAACTCCTGAATGCTATGTTAAATTTTTGTGGCTAGTGATGAAAATACTCCTTCTCAAATGATGACAGTATAGCACTATCTAATTTCAAATCAAGCATAGTTGGCTTAGAATAAATAAGAGGTCTATACATGTAACCTAAGAGTGTTATTTTTACGGAACCAAAGTTTTTTTCATGGGATCATATTATGGTTCTAAATTACTGTCACTTCTTTCTGTCACATTCTTTAGATTCATGAGATTTGTCCTCTGTTGATGAATGATTGCTGGATTTGTATCTATACCAGCAGTAAGATTCTTTCAAGATAAAAAAAGCAGGGGGTGGGGGATGGGGTGAAGGGTGGGTATTAAGTATATGAATGATACAGTATTATGGAACTTAGGTACAGAGGGATAGTGACCAGTAATATAATATAAATATGATGCCTCAATTATATTTCTTTATTTCTGCTCCACAGTGTGTTTTCCATACACAGAACTTTTATGTGATGGGCTATATTCAACATTCATGGTACTGTTCAACTTATGTAGGAAAACCAGACCTCTAAATTAAAAATTCTGTTAGGATGTTCTTGCTATATGTTTCGGGAATCCTGTAGGAGGATTGAAGTTTATTCTTGATGATTGATTGAAGAAAGAGTGTCTCATTAACTTCTTCCTGAAAGAAAGGCAGATTGCAGCAGTTCTCTGGAGAGGAAGCTGGAGTCTGGGGTAGTGGTGTCATAAGGTAGCAATAGTTTGTTTTTAAAAGTCTTGCCCATAATTTGAAAAATGTTTTGGCTGGTACGTATTGCCAGTTACTTGCCACAATATGATTTAAGTGTATTCCTTTCCACAGAGAGGCAAAAGTGCACTGCAATAGCAAGAATTTCTCTGAGCTGTTTCCTGGCCTTGGAAGCATTGCATCTGTCAAGTGCAATGCTAATGGCAATAAAGTCAGCATCCTTGTTAGCAAGGTGAGGCAAAGCTCTTCGTTTATCACCCTAGGACCTGACCATCAGTTAATAGACTGGTGCAGTTCAAGAAGATTACTGAAAACACAAGATTCACTTCTCAGAAATAAACCTACATTTTCTGTGCAGTGTATGTGGCCTTGAAATGTCATGTCCAAGCATGTAACTAAACACTAAAATTAAGGTATGTTGAAGTTTGGTGCATTTGGTGAGAACAACCCAGAAAAGGAAGCAATATTTTAATTACTGAAGCTACTTTGTAGCATTTCAAAGAAATCAAAGGCTAACTTGCTAGAATAGAAAAACAGCAAGAAATTTTTTGATATTTCTTCCAAATACTGTTGTGTGATTACCAGTAAACAAAACTTAGAGCATAAATCAGATGAGCTAAACATGCCTTTTTTTTCTTTTGACTGCATGCTTCAGCAACTTTTGTTTTCCCTTCTTGTAGGTGGACGGAAACATTGATTCCAAGATCTGTTTCTATGATGTAGAAATGGACAAAGTTACACTCTTTGATTTCAAGGCTGAACAGGGAAATAGTAGAGAGAAGCTTTCTTCTAGACAAGGCATTGGCAAGTAAGAAGCTTTTATTTCGATAAGTATTACTTGCGGATTTAAGATAGGAATCTGCCCTATGAAGACAGGCAGCATTTCAATATGACACTCCTCTGTCTTTGTGTAGGAGCTTGTATGAATTTAGTTATTTTATTTCTAAAGAATTAATTAAAACTGGTGCATTGTATGTCAACCAGCCTCCATCCCTGTCTCTTCCAATACGTAAACGAGGGAGTGTCAGATGAAGGTTTCAGAAAGCAAGCTCAAAATAAGCAGGAGGAGGTGGTTCTTCAGAAAACATGCAGCTGAGCTAAGGAATTCCTTGCCAAAGGAGTTATGGATGATGAAGGAAGGGTTCATGGAGGTTCATAGGAGAGAAATGCAGTGAGAGTTATTAGATATGTGGAAGCCATATCTGGCTCAGGAGGTCTCTGAGGGGAGGAGGATTGGGTGCTGGGGGAGTATGCATAGAGGTATTATATGAGTATTATATGACTGCAATCAGGATCTGTATCTTAAAATAAAGAAAACTCTTGAAGAATCTCGGAAAGCTATGCTTCCATTAAGAGTGTACAGGGTAGGAACTGAAAAGAGGACATTCTGAGGCTCCTCCAAGGAAAAAAGTTAATTTTTAGGTCCAATACAGGATAGTTTTGTATGGGTAAAAACTCATGAAATGTCTGTTTAGAACTGACAGCTTTGTTCTCATTCAAGCTCTTCTGTGGCGAATACATTAAAAAGCCTAGTAGCAAGGCAGCAAAATGCAGTGAACTAGGAACTGTCATGTAAGAACAGTGGAATGTTAGGGTACAAATTCTCATCTTGTTTTACAATAATTTTTCTGAAGAAGAAAACAGCATTAGAAGATGATTTTCCTTGTTAGCAACTATCTGCTATAGGTATTACAATCAAAAAAAGATTTACTCTAGTTACTACTGAAACCAGAAAAAACTAAGGACAGTGCAAATCAGTTATGCAAACAGCACAATAATGAGGGTTATTTTACGTGTAGTATCTTGTGTAGCCCAACAGAGGCCACCACAAGCTAGTAATGCTATTTCACTCATATTTAAATACTAGATGGTGTTGTGAATAATCCATTTATCTGTGCTTCATTTTAGAGTGTCTTAAAATTGGAATAAGTAAGCTCAACAGAAAATAATAATAATCTACACTTCTTCCCTTTCTCTCTCTTCTCCTGAGGCAGAATGTAAACACTCCCAATTTTTTTACACAAATACTGTTTTTCAGCTTGTGAGTAATTTATTTTGAATTCAGGGGCATGGATAGCACATTGTGTATTTCTGCGTCCCTTTGAATCTCTCCCTTAATTTGCCTTCCAAACCTACTCCAGTCCTCCCGACGAAGTCCACCCTTCAGTAGTGACATCAAATGAGAAACATATTTTAAAGATATCTTTGGTTTATCTCTTTTTAAACAATTTGACACCTATTTACATTTTGTATTTCTTCAGAAGAATCCTGAGCCATTGCTAAAATAGTCTGATTCTGCATGTCTAGAGTCTTAACATGGCCGGCACTGAAGTAGTATTTAAATGCCTGAAGGAGGCAGTAAAATGTTTCTTATTTAAACTGCTGCCAGAGTGGCTCTTCTAGGGCTGCAAGGGTTGTCCTTGTGCTTAATGGGCTATTTCACAGTGCCTTGGAATTCTTCATATGCAGTATGATGTTCAAGCACAGTAATGAGGAAAGGGAAGGAACTGTGGCATATCTAGAGACTGAAGTCCCCCAGCTGCAGGTCAGGTTCAGCTGCAACTCTGGAGTTTCCCTCAGCACTGAGAAGTTCAGCAGTTCAAAGTATCAGTCACACAGCATGCCCAGATCTCTGCTGAACTCTCAGTAGAGAGAGATCTGTTGCCTGAGAATATAAACTAATTTCTTACTTTTTTTCCCTATCAGTTTAAGCGCAATTGTCTAGTTGTGATCTCTTATAACCACTGCTTAGCTGGATTTGAACATGAGACATTTGTACCAGAAACTCTCACTTTACTGCTTATCTAAATGCATGTCAGTGTACTTAAGCTATTTTTAACCTGGCTGGACATTTCTAGCAGTGCTGTCAGTAAGCACCTTGGGGCAGGTTGTAAAACCCACAAGAAGATAGAGCTGAGATAGTCCCCATGTTACAGTACCTACACTGATAGCAGTCGCTAAGGCAGATCATCTGAAGGATGTTCAGGTATTTATGTGGGGCATAATCTTAGTGGGGGCAGATTTTGGATGCCTATTTGTATTTGTGGCAGTACCAGCTTTTTTTTTTCTACTGAAATACTTTATGTCCTATAGTCATGGTTAATGTATAGAGAACAAGTTAAAAGTGGCATTGCCACAGATCAAGTGTTAGGAAGTAGGAAGATGTAAAGATGTATATGGTTAATGTTACAATGCAGAGGTACTGGCATAGATAACAACTGATCATCATCTGAAATTTAGCCCTTGGTTAGTCCTTTATTTACATTCGTGCACTAAATGGGCTGAAATTATGTTGTCTCCCTTTCTACATTTTTTTGTTGTCTTTTAGTAGGTCTGTTGTGGAGTATCCAGAGTTGCACAGTCACATCCCTGCTTGCCATTTCTGGGACCAGAGTGAACCAAGACTTTTTGTATGTGAAGCAATTCCTGAAACAGACAGAAAATCCCCAGACCAGAAGGAAAACCAGACTGAGAGCACAGTATGGTCTTTTTGTTTGTTTGTTTACTATTCTTTAAATGGACTTAACCCTGTCCAAGTAATAAATCATTGGTCCTTCACTAAGGATGCAGGAGTAGGTAGTATACTTTATCTTGTACAAAAATGAGTAGTGAAACAGTGTTTGGTCTCTGTGGCTTCAGGCAGTCACTACACATTAGTATTCCTGTTTTAGCCCTAGCTTGAATACAGTGACAAAGAAAAAGAGGTGATTTCTTTATGTATGCTAGAATTTTGAGGATGATCACAATGCAAGCTTGTATATGGACTACAGTTTTTCACGTGATATTAATGTGTGAATTAATAATCTAGAGGTTTGATACGTATTCTCATTTTTTAAAAAATAATGCTGATTTCATATCAGCAAGTGTCCATTTTTAGCAGCAAGAATTAACTTGATAGAATAATAGAGACCCTACTGTTAAAGTGAGCAGTGAAGTACGGTCTTCTCACCCAGTTCTTACCATCTCCTGCTTTGCTGGACAGACATTGTACATCTTTCATAGAATCATCAAATTGTTCGAGTTGGAAGAGATCTTAAAGGTCATCCACTCCCATCCCCCTGCCCCGGGCAGGGACCCCTTCCCCCAGCCCCGTCCAACCTGGCCTTGAACCCTTCCAGGGAGGGGGCAGCCACAGCTGCTCTGGGCACCCTGGGCCAGCGCCTCACCCCTGTACAGGGAACAATTTCTGCCTTAGATCTAATCTAAATCTCCCCTCTCGGTTTTAAACCATCACCCCTCATCCTATCCCCACCCCCCGATCCAGAGTCCCTCCCCACCTCTCCTGTCCCCCCTTTAAGCCCTGGGAGGCCGCTCGAAGGGCTCCCCGGAGCCTTCTCTTCTCCAGGCTGACCCCCCCCAACTCTCTCAGCCCGGCCTCCCAGGGGAGCTGCTCCAGCCCCCCCAGCATCTTCGTGGCCTCCTCTGGCCCCGCTCGAGCAGCTCCGGGTCCTTCTGCTGTTGGGGGCCCCCGAGCTGGCCCCAGCACTGCAGGGGGGGCTCCCCAGAGCGGAGCAGAGGGGGAGAATCCCCTCCCTGGCCCTGCTGCCCCCCCTGCTCTGGCTGCAGCCCAGGGCACGGGGGGGTTCTGGGCTGTGAGCGCATGGTGCTGGGGTCACGGGCAGATTTTCACCCACCAGTAACCCCCAAGTCCCTCTCCTTGGGGCTGCTCTCCATCCACTTATCACCCAGTCTGTAGTGATCCTGGGGATTGTTGGGATAGTTCTCCAATGTAGCATTTTTTATCACAGATATCTGTTTATTGTAGTAATACTTTGCAGTAACTGATCATCTATCGAATCTCAGTTTAATGGGATCTTTTACAAGAAGTGGACAGTCCCTTGATTTTACCACGCATTGTAGGAGATCAGGTTCCAGACCATCTAAGGAATCTGAGGATGCACAAGTCCGTGGGACCTGATGACACGTATCTGTGGGTCCCAAGGGAACTGGCAGATGAAGTGGATAAGCCACTATCCTTCATATTTGAGGAGTTGTGGCAGTCTGGTGAGGTTCCCACTGACTGCAAAAGGGAAAACATAACCTCATTTTTAAAAGGGGAAAAAGGGAAAACCCAGGGAACTACAGGCCACTCTACAGTTCCAGTCTCTGTGCCTGGCAAGATCATGGAGCAGATCCTCCTGGAAACTATGCTAGGGCACGTGGAAAATAAGGAGGTGATTGGTGACAGCCAACAGGGCTTTGCTAAGGGCAAATCATGCCCAGTGAATTTGGTGGCCTTCTACAATGGGGTTACAGCGCTGGTGGATAAGTGAAGAGCAACTGACATCTTCTACCTGGACTTGTGCAAAGCTTCTGACACTGTTCCGCATGACAACCTTGTCTCTAAATTGGAGACGTGGACTTGCCAGATGGATCACCTGGTAGAGAAGGAATTGGCTGGATGGTCGCAGTAAAGAGCTGTGGTCAATGGCTTGATGTCCAAGAATGGTACTTCCTAAGTTTTTTTTTATGGTCTTTTTTACATTAGAAAATATATTTCATTCTTATTGATCACAAATGGTCTAATCAAATATTTCTTTCATCAGGTCAGCAATTCTTCCCTGCTTCCCCTGCTAATGTGCTGGTAGTGGTGCCTACCATTTTGTCTGTATAGAACTGCCTGTCCTTCATAAATATTCCATTAATTTGAAATGTGCATGTTGATTTAAAGTTTTCTGATTTGTTCATGGTTTAAGTTAAGCCTCTTCCAACTAGAGACAGAGAGCACTTTGTTTCTATTGTTTTTTTAAAATTACTTTAGGAAAATCATGGGAAGATCAAGGTAGAAATGAGGAATGGAGTAAGGATGTCTCAAAAGACATTTCTAGAGCCTTCTAGCAAAGAGAATAACACTTCAACCTAACAGTCTTAACATAAACAAGTAAAAATGTTTGGCTTCTACATAAAGTTGAAAAATAAAAAGATATAAAAGGAATGCAACTTACTTTTTGGCCCTTATTCAACAGAACGTTTAATGGTGTGCCTTTAAGAAATGAGAAGTCTGATTAACTTTAGTTGGAAATAAATGCTTCATTTTGACTGGAGTCAGGCCAATATTTAAGCTGTAACTATTTTTAAGTGGCAGGTATATTCCTTGGGAACTCAATCATCGAGCTGCTGAAATTATAATAGAAATAATATAGTTTAAAAAAAATAATTGTTGAAAACAGTTAGGTGTATTTCTTTGATCTGAGTCAGATCTGTTAGAGAGACTTCTAGAATAGCAGTCTGAGGCCAGGGACTTTGCTCTGTATGGTCGGTGAAGTTGGTTCTTGAAAGGCAGAGGTCCCTTTGCAGTAGGAACAGTCTGTAATGTAGAATGAGTTGTTGGCTACTTACGATAGGGAGGAAGCATGCAGCTCTGCCCTCTCCAGCAGGTGTGTGCTTGTGAATATATATGTCATATTATTTTCAAGAGGAGGTTCTGCCAAGTGAATATGGAAAATAAAAACAAAATGGAAGAAGGATATTGCAGCATAAAACCAAAACAGTGCTTTGCTTCCTTTTCCAGATGGGTGTTTGGATTATATCATTCTTCACTACTGAAGAGCATGGCCTTTTGCTTCAGGACAGCTTTCCATTACCTTCATCCTACCAGGTTCTTCTGGGCATAGAGGTACCACATTATTACTTTGCAAAAAAGGTGCGGAAATCTTTCACAGTTCCTCCCCTTCTCATAAATTCAGATTTTTCACTGCATAGGGATCAAATTTAACCAAACTGAGTCTGGGAAATTGGAAATGTAATTTAGTATATGAACAGAGTCTGCTTTAAATGTAGCAAATAGAGTTGATGCAACACGTCTGTTTTGACTAAATTTTGTTCTGGAGTTTCTCCATATTCATTATAATGTCTTTTCTGTCCTGGTTCCAGAAATTCCCCAAATTGTAGTCAAATACATTTGCACTTTTGATTTCTGTCTTTTACTGTATCTAGTACTTTCGTTGTATAATAATATAATACTGTTTTTTAATTGGCTTCTGTAAACCTTAATATTTTGTTATCTAACTATACAATTGGGGTAGAGTATATGTGAAATTTGGTGTCCTTCATGACTCAGATGATCTTCCACTGTGTTTGGCTTGTGAAAATTTCCTCGTTATATTCTAGACAGATCACTGGATACTGATGACTGACTTTATTCTTTTTCTGACTAATGGTTAAATTGCTTTGAGCTGCCTTTCAGTGACTGGTGAAAGTATCACTGAAGCTCCAGAGGCTCCAGAGCTGCCAATTGCATGGGGAAGGGTTTGAATCTGAGCTTTAGTAGTATAAATACGCAGTACTTATGAAAGCCTCATATGAAGGCAGGAATAAAAGAATTAGATCTACATAGTTAACTTTCAGAACAGCAGACTCATTTTTGAGAAGAGACTAACCTTAGAGAAATGTTTATCTGAAATCTCCAGAAATCTGGGGGCTTAAAATAGTAGTTGCTATTGTAGCAATAATTAATAATACATGTAAAAGTAGTTATGATAATAGGATGTTGCCTCTTCTGTGATATTTTACCAGTCTCCAAACTATCATTGACATATTGTGATTGTTCATTATGGTATGCTGAGTTCTTCTATGATGTTCCATATTTTTGGGCATTTTCTAGGAAATTCTGAAACATTGCAGCTGTTGTCACTATTGATCATGATTCTGCAGAAACAGAAAACTTGGACTGTAGTAGAAATAATGTAATTAATTCCATGTACAAAGGAGTAAGTTTAAACCTACTTGATACCTAAATTGTAACATTCTCATTTTAGCTGGGAGAAGCTGAGAAAGGACAAGCAGAGTCTAGCTCAATAAAGGTCTCTCAGATGGTTGCGAGAAGACCCATGAAAGATTTCATTGGATTAGGAGACTGCGATAAGACTACTCGGGATGCCGTGCTGAACTTCAGCTTCTATCTGACTGCTGGAGATATGGATGAGGCCTTCAAATCCATCAAGCTGATAAAAAGGTATAAGTATTTGTATGTATTTATTTATGGGTACAGTTTATTTTCATTAAAAATTTGTATGAAGTTTTGATCCTTCAAAATTCTCCTTACATTTTTCCTTTCTGATTTCATTCTCCCTTTCATTTTTAACAAGATGAAATATCTTTATCTTACAGACCTTCTAATGTATTCTCTGCTTATTCTTTGTCTACAAGACATTGCAAGCTCTGTGGATTCTTTTTTACTAAATGGGAAAAAGTGATTGGTAATAAGTGACCTTATTCTGTCTCTGAATGGCAAAAATCTCATGTTATTACTAGAAGAAAATGAACATTCACAACTTTATTTATACATCTAAAATAATCACAGTAATACTGAGTATTACAAATTTACTGACCACATAGCTGATTTTAAAATTTAAATGTACATTATTATAATATGGATATTGCAATATTAGAAGAAATATAATAATGTCTTTTAAATATTCCAATATTTTATTTTTAAAAAACCCTGCAATGAAACATAGCATATCATTTCTGGAAAACATTTTCCAGAAAGTAATGCAGGCAAATGAATACAAATCTTAGTTGGTTTTTACAAACCTACTGCTAGAAGAAACTCTTTGTCAGCTTTATGGTATTCTACCCTAATAGTCTAGAACAATGCAGTTGTTCTAGAGCATCTCTCTCTGCAGAGTGTTGCTCACTTTGAACATGGTGCAGAGCAGCAGTTGGGGTTGAGTTTCTTATTATATTGGAGCTGAATGCAGAACAGAACTCAAGAGCCAGCTTGATGATCACATTTTAATGAAATGTGGAAAAGTATGGTGGAAATAATGATGAAGAAGAAAAGCAGTGTACTCAGCTGGGAGCGACACAACAGTCCTAAAGAATTTGTAGTATTCATAGTTTGTGGTCCTTCAAACCTATCAGTAACTGTGCTCAGAGTAGCATCCTTAGAGTTTTTAAACATTGTCATTGCCTCTAGTTCCTGTACCCTAAGTATTTCTGCATAATAGTTTTTGACCTGTTGTTTTTATTCCTGAAAGTTACATGCACATGACATTTCTGAGCCCATGTGCTTCTCCAGGTCAGGCTTATAAATATTATGCCTAATTCCAAAGGTACTAATTATTTTTATTTCATTACCATATTAAGTTACCAGGCAGGTCTTTTTTAAATCTCATGCTTAAGTCCTGTATATGTGTCTTATTCTCCAATTTGGGTGCTTGAGTAGCAGTTAAATTCTCCAATATTCACTGTGTTATGTGCCTCTGAGCATTGCTGGGCAGAGGTGGTTGTCCTGACGTAGCACTCTAATATGAAAATGTCACAGCAAATGTTAAAGCAAGGTGGGAAGAAAAGAAATTAATTTGGGCTGAAATATCTGTTCTTAGTAATCGTTTCCAATAATGTAAATTAATAGTATCTCTGATCATTAGGGAGCCAGGGTAACCTTCTTCTGTAGATATTTGCCCTCATTGTAACACTGAAGTAGATTTTTCAGCAACATGTATGGCCTATTCTAGATGCATACACTTTTCATTTTTAATGGCATGTTTGGTTACCTATAGGATAAACCCAAACCTTTGTCTCAGGATACAAAAGAAGTGTCTGAAAAAATGCAACTTAATTCTTCTGCATTCCCTTGCTTTACAATTGGAATGGTTAGAGGTGCTTTTGCTTTCTACTGCCTGGGCTGTGCTGTGGCTGGGGAGCAGGTGTTGCAGCCAATGAGAAGTTCCTTGAAGAGAGGTGGATGGAAGGACTAAAGATTCATGAAATTTAAACAGCTGTTAAAATCATCACTTATTCTGTAGTGAGTTTTCTGCTTTCTCAGATTGCCTGTTAACTCCAAAGCTATTGTCACTGGTCTTCTATAGCTTTTTACAATATTATTATGGAGTAGGATAACTTTATGCAGACAGAAAAAATGTGTTTGGTTACCTCTTTTCTATATTCTCATTGCATACACTCTGTGTCTGCTACAGCTGACATGTAGCTGTGATGCTCTGTCAGGATTCTGACAATCCAACATTCTGTGCTGTACAGCAAAGGGAGAGGGCAATATAATATAATATATATAAAATTATGTGTTTTATACATATGTATATAGACGGAGCCCATCCAAATAATAATTGAGGGCCTCTGCCCACAAGAGTGAGCTTTGTGATGTCTTTCATCCCTTAGTTTTAAATTATAGCATATATTTATAGAAAACAACTCCAATGCAGATCTCCTTGGAGATCTTTCCCCTTTCAAGTCCACTCTTTCAGCACGGTGACTCAACGTAGTCGTTTTCCAGGCCACGGCGAAACCGAGCGGTCAGGGTGCGGCTAATGACAATGACCCGGGGCGCCATGCAGTCCTCACGCCTGTGAAGGATGTTCCATATGAGAATGGCAGCTGCCAGTGTGGCCAAAAGACAGGCTCCAATGTTCAGATAGCAAGACCAAGAAAGGTTGGTGTATGGTCCGATGCGATAGAAAGTCACCAATCCGATAACCAGAACAAAACCTGCAAGGAGAATGTGAGAAATATTTTTATTGAGTTATTCGCTTGAATTTCTGTAGTGGCAGGATGCATTAAGCCAACATTCGTGAGTCTGTAAAGCCTTTCCATGCCTATTGTGATGTGCTGTATGTGTTCTTGAAAGCATATTTGGGCATGATGATATATGCAAAGACTGGGTGCCTGAAATAGAGTCTCAATGTGAGGTTTAAATCTGTTCACTCTGATTTCAATTTCTTACTCCCACTTAGCTGTATTTCACATTGTGTTTTTTTCCCCATCCTCTTGTCTCACTTACACAGATGTCCTCTTTCTTATTACCACTGCCAACACAGAAAACTGGTATATTAATGATAATAATAATAATAATGAAAATCTTTAATTCAGAATATGGTACACTTATTCTGAAATTTTAAAATGTTTATTTAAAGCAGAACACTATGGTAAACTGCAAAGGTGATGAATGGCTAAATATCTTACAGAAATAATAAAAAAAATGTACAGAAGCTTAAAAAAAAAAGGAAGGTGAAATAAATGGGACTTTATGGTCCTACTTTTTCTATGCTGGAAAAAAATGTTATGATTCGGGACTAATATCATGCCTCCAGAAACTATCAAAGGCAAGGTTTCCACTCCCTTCCTAACCTTAAGCACAGTAGTAAGTTCCCTAAAAGGTAGATAATATTAGAGTGATAACACTGCACTTGTCTAGCATTTCTATCTGCATGTCACAATGTGATTTGCAAAAAAACTGAAAAAAGTATTTTCCACATTCTTTTTGTTAGATGCCACTGATAAATAGTAATGTTTCAGAGATGAGGTGGGATGACTTTTCTAGTCATGAAAGAGGTCTATATTAGAAAAAGGGGCAGAATCTGTATTCCTTGACTCCTACTTTTTTCTGTTACTAAGACTGCCCTTTCCCTGAAGAATGCATTGATAAACACACAATTACTTTTCTGCCCTCTGTTTATTGTATTGGTCTCTCCTTCTGTCCCTGTTCTCAAATAAGACTACTTTTCAGCTTTTTAAGAGAAGTAATTTATACATGCGATTAGACTGAAACAAATCTAGAAAGAGGCAAATAGGTCTCACTAACCGAAAAAAGGTTTTCTCTTTGTTCTCTTACGCACTTCTTTAACCACCACCATAACACAAGAACTATCACTGACAAAAGGACACCTTCATGAAGGAAGACTAGAATAAACAAAGGCCCATAAACAGCCAGAGGGTTTCTAGATACCATCTTCCTAAATTCATGAGCAAGGACATGTCAAGAGCAAGTAAATCCCAGTGGCTGCATGCTCTTTTCTCAGTTAGCCATGCTGCTTGCAAACAGTGTTGCCACAGATACATGGCAATGCTCTAAAATGGTGTGACACCTGGCTCTGGTCCTTGGTTTTCCATGAAAGAGCACATCCTGAATATGCAATGTGTCAAGTTTCTTTGCAGAAAGAGTACTAGTAATGCAGTGAAGATGGAAAAGACGCAAATTATATACAGATAAAAAAAAAATGAGAAGGGAAATTAAATAAAAATAGGAGAAAAAATCAATCAATCAATCACTACTTAAGTAGGTGTGATACTTTTACTATTCTGAGAGTCAACAATGTGAAGGCTGAATCCCCTTCCTAATAAAACAAGTAATGAATGAGTACTAATTCAGGAGACATCTAGCATCCTCAGATCTCTTTTATCTACCTAGAAGGTGGTTTGTAACTCAGTTGTTTCCTACACCTTCTCCTCCTGAAGTAGCACTGTCCCACAGGTGGCATGTACCAAGGAGGATTTGAAGTGAGGCTTCTCTTCCTTAGGATATACGAGGAGGAAATAGGTTCTTAGAGGAGGAGTAGCTTTTTCCTGCTCTTTTGCCACTCTGCAGTAACCTTTGCTGTGAAAAAAGTGTAATGTACTCTGGATGGGTTTTAGGATGTCGAGTCAGTTGTAAGAACAGCAATTAATAACTCCTTGTTTTTGTCAGTAGGTCTACTCGTTAACGGTTCAGCTTAGTTATAAATGAACAAGTTTCATATGTGAAAAATGTGGCCACATGGAGCACACTGACTTAACTGAGTTGCAGAAATCACTGATCTGTACAGTATTTTGCTAGCACTCCCAAATTGAGTCTGTGGGCTTACTTAGGAGGCCATTTTGATGTTAGCCAAGCTGGAGATGGGATCCCAATACATAGGTGGTCATCTAGCATTATTTCAAAATATACAGGTTTTAAAGTTGCTTCTCAACTCCTGTTCAAAAAAATACTGAGTTACGGTTGAGGTAGAAAAATGGTGAAGTTGTGCTTTTGACAAATTACACTTGAATCTTAATTTTTTTCAGTAATCACCATTGGATGACACACCTTGTATCAGATTATGCATGCTTTTTAAAATCCCGGTCTCCTGAAGCCAGGCAGGTGTTATCTACCTCCCTGGATGGACTGTTGAAGGCAAATCATCTGTCTTTAAAGTAGTTAATTTTTCTGTATATTCATATGCTTAGCTCATCACCACG